AGGAAAAATGTCAATTATTCGACTTTTTGGACTTCTTGTTTTTATAGGCTAGAAAGGCGTTTTTTCGTTCTAGAATATCATAAAAGACATTTTCCTGGCCTCTATTGCCTAAAGAAAAAAAAAGTTGGAAAAATGGCCATTTTTGGACCAAAACCATGGGTTAACCTCTTAGGAAAAATGTCAATTTTTCGACTTTTTGGACTTCTTGTTTTTATAGGCTAGAAAGGCGTCTTTTCGTTCTAGAATATCATAAAAGACATTTTCCTGGCCTATATTGCTTAAAAAAAAAGTTGGAAAAATGGCCATTTTTTGACCAAAACCAAGGGTTAACCCCGTAGGAAAAATGTCAATTTTTGGAGTTTTTGGACTTCTTGTTTTTATAGCCTAGAAAGGCGTTTTTTCTTTCTAGAATATCATAAAAGACATTTTCCTTGCCTATATTGCCTAAAAAAAAAAAGTTTGAAAAATGGCCATTTTTGGACCAAAAACATGGGTTAACCCCGTAGGAAAAATGTCAATTTGTCGACTTTTTGGACTTCTTGTTTTTATAGCCTAGAAAGGCGTTTTTTCGTTTGAGAATATCATATAAGGCATTTCCCTGGCCTATATTGCATTAAAAAAGAAGTTCGAAAAATGGCCATTTTTGGACCAAACCCATGGGTTAACCCCGTAGGAAAAATGTCAATTTTTTCGACTTTTTGGACTTCTTGTTTTTATAGCCTAGAAAGGCGTTTTTTCGTTCTTGAATATCATAAAAGACATTTTCCTGGCCTATATTGCCTAAAAAAGAAAGTTGGAAAAATGGCCATTTTTGGACCAAAACCATGGGTTAACCCCTTAGGAAAGATGTCAATTTTTCGACTTTTTGGACTTCTTGTTTTTATAGGCTAGAAAGGCGTTTTTTCGTTCTAGAATATCATAAAACACATTTTCCTGGCCTATATTGCCTAAAGAAAAAAAAAGTTGGAAAAATGGCCATTTTTGGACCAAAACCATGGGTTAACCTCTTAGGAAAAATGTCAATTTTTGACTTTTTGGACTTTTTATTTTATAGGCTAGAAAGGCGTTTTTTCGTTCTAGAATGTCATAAAAGACATTTTCCTGGCGTTTATTGCTTAAAAAAAAGTTGGAAAAATGGCCATTTTTTGACCAAAACCAAGGGTTAACCCCGTAGGAAAAATGTCAATTTTTGGAGTTTTTGGACTTCTTTTTTTTATAGCCTAGAAAGGCGTTTTTTCGTTCTAGAATATCATAAAAGACGTTTTCCTGGCCTATATTGCCTAAAAAAAAAAAGTTGGAAAAATGGCCATTTTGGACCAAAACCATGGGTTAACCCCGTAGGAAAAATGTCAATTTTTCGACTTTTTGGACTTCCTGTTTTTATAGTCTAGAAAAGCGTTTTTTCGTTCTAGAATATCATAAAAGACATTTTCCTTGCCTATATTGCCTAAAAAAAAAAAAGTTGGAAAAATGGCCATTTTTGGACCAAAACCATGGGTTAACCCCGTAGGAAAAATGTCAATTTTTGGAGTTTTTGGACTTCTTGTTTTTATAGCCTAGAAAGGCGTTTTTTCGTTCTAGAATATCATAAAAGACATTTTCCTGGCCTATATTGCCTAAAAAAAAAAGTTGGAAAAATGGCCATTTTTGGAGGAAAACCATGGGTTAACCCCTTAGGAAAAATGTCAATTTTTCGACTTTTTGGACTTCTTGCTTTTGCAGCCTAGAAAGACGTTTTTTCGTTCTACAATATCATAAAAGACATTTTCCTGGCCTATATTGCCTAAAAAAGAAAATTGGAAAAATGGCCATTTTTGGAAACAGGAAATTTTTATGTTTCATTCTACCCATTTTTGGTAATACTTTTTAAAATCTTTTTTAAGGTTTTTTTGCTAAGTTCAAATTTTGGGTTACGCGCACTCGGGAAAAGCCCAAAAAACCTTCTATTACCTCTAAATAGTCCCAAAAAAAGGCAGAATTCCTCCAAACTCGGCTTTACACAATTTTTAACTGCACAAACAAGAAATTTTCATGTTTAATCCGAAGCCATTTTCTGCGCTTACTACGCTAAGTGGAAATTATGTGTTACACGCACCCCGCAAAAACAAAAAAACTTTTAATTGCAGTTTAATAGTCGCAAAATATCTCCAGAATGCCGCCCAGCTTCTTTTTAGACAGTTTTCAAGTGCGCAAAAAAGAAATTTTTATGATTATTTATCCTACACACTTTTGGTAACAGTTTCGGAAAATCTTTTTCGGGCTTATTTCTCTAAGTTTAAGTTTTCAGTTACGCGCATCCGGGAAAAGCCCAAAAAACCTTTGTTAATACTTGAAAAGTGGGAGAATATATGCAGAATGTCGTCAAGCTCGTTTTTAGATAGTTTTGAAGTGCCCAAAGAAGAAATTTTTATGATTAATCCTACACACTTTTGGTAACACTTTCGGAAATCTTTTGTTTGGGCTTATTTCTCTAAGTTTAAGTTTTCGGTTACGCGCATCCGGGAAAAGCCTAAAAAACCTTAAATTATACTTGAAAAGTGGCACAATATGTCCAGAATGTCGTCAAGCTCTTTCTTAAACAGTTTCCAAGTGCGTAAACAACAAATTTTGGTGTTTAAGGCGAACTCATTTTTGGTAACAGTTTAAACGTCGCTGTTTTTCGGGTTACCAAGCTAAGTGGAAATTTTGGGTTATGCGCATCCAGGAAAAACAGAAAAAACTTTTAATTACATTTAGATAGTCGCAAAATATCTCTAGAATGCCTTCAACCTTGTTTTTAGACAGTTTGAAAGTGCGCAAACAAGAACTTTTCATGTTTCATCCAAAGCCATTTTTTGTAACATTTTAAGGGAAACTCTGTTCCGGATTACTACGCTAAGTGAAATTGTTGGGTTATGCGCATCCGGGCAAAGGGGAAAAAACTTTTAATTACATTGAAATAGTCGCCAAATATGACCATAATGCCGGCAAGCTTGTTTTTAGACAGTTTAGAAGAGCGCAAGCAACAAATTGTCATGTTTAATCCCAAGGCATTTTTTGTTTGTCCCTAGACAGCAAAAAAAGGATTTGCTTCAAATTTGCTCAGCGCAATATGATGCAAATTTTGCAAACTGAAGAATAAATCTGATACTGAACTGTTTTATTAAAATAACAGATGAGTTTAGCTAAAAATAAACTGCTGTTAAAAAGTGTTTCGTTATGGTTTTAAACATTTGCTTTAATAAAGTCACATTTGCATAATCAATCAATGACTCAAACAGGGGCGTAGCCAGGATTTTCCAAAGGGGGGGGTCACAGAGGCTTCTCACCAGATTGTCATGTCGACCTCCACGCCGTGCGTTACTGCTCTCCCTCGTGTATCAGCGGGCGCAGTCGTATTATCGCTGCATGAAGGCCCATATTAACTAAAGACAAGAGCCGTTGACGAAAATACTTTACATAAAAAGTGGGCTTTTCAACAATGGCTTTTACGGCCAAGATATTAATTGTCAAGTCATGTCAAACATCTTACAGTCTTACTGTTCTTGAGTCTTTTTTTTTTTTTTTTCCTTTTTCATGTTTTTTCCTTTTATCTATTTACTAATTCCTTGTTTTTTCTAGCTTTAGTGCCAACCTACCTCCTATGCCTGAACATTATTTAGCTTTACTCAGCTCGATTAGCTTTTATTTGGTAATAAAGCTTATGTTGTTGTTGTTGTTGTCATGGCGTTTTCGCCACCTGAATATTGTAGGTTGTTTGCTCAAAAGAAGGCCTACCAAGGGGGGGTCACGGGAACCCCAGGACCCCCCTAGCTACGCCCCTGTCAAAAATGTCAACTTTAATAGACTACAACTATCTCCCGAAGGGGAGGTGAATAGTGGTGGCCAAATAAATTGTACCAGAGGTCAATTTAATAAAACTTTTAAAAGTGTAATTTACAAGAGCTGTTTTTAGGGTCTGGAAACAATAATTACACTTGTAAATTTCACTTTAAAAGTTTTATCAAATTGAGGCAAGAGCTAATTACTTTCTCGTCTGTTCGAAAAGAACATGCTTTTGCTTTTCTCTTTTGGCTTTTTACATTATTCACGTTCTAAATTACAAACTGTTTTATTTTTGGATAATAAATTCTATTACACACCTGTGATTGCTTTAGCCACTATTACCAAAAGGGGAAATGTCAGCGGCTTCAGTGAAGTCGTCTTCCTCTAAAACCATGGTAACTCACCATTACCAAAGAATTGTCCATCTCTTTTCTATAGAACAAAACATATTATACATGGTTGTGAATCCAGAGTAATAAATTAAGTAGTAGTGCTCCGCGCACTTAAGAGCTTACCCTGTGCTTGCAACTGCTGCGCTGCGCTCATTCACAAACAGACATAACAAACAATCAAAATCACAATTACAACAAAAACAATAATTAATAAGGTAGAGAAAATCAAAGGAGAGGCAAGATGCTACCGGTCATAAGTTCCAGCGCTGTAACCTGAAAGAGGTCAACAGATTATGGACAAACTCCTGCCACGCACGTATTCATATAGAATGAGTAACACCTAGTAGGACTGAGAAGTTGCACTTTTTCTTTACATGTCATGATCCAGCCGTCTAAAGTGTATTTCTGAGGTCATCAAAATATCTTGATAACGCTACCATAGAATTTGTTGAAATTCCCCTAATGTTTTAGGGGCTGTTGCCAATGGAAGTACAAGACCCCGTAAACGATGTTTGGAACCCAACTTTCCAGTGCCGAGAAACGGATAAATAGGATTTGTAATTTAATCAAGTTAACAGGAGCGAAATTGGTAATGGCTACCAATTCAGCAAGTAAACATTACATAGAGGATATTACACGGTGGTGCGAAGATATGAATTTTATTTTCGAGTGGCAAAACAATATTTTACGAACGAGCGCAGCGACTGAGTAAAATATTGTTTTTGCCACGAGAAAATAAAATTCATATCTTCAAGCCGCCGTGTAATGTTCTTTTTATTATATAGACAAAAAAAAAACATCGATAAAATAATAGATTTTTATTCGCCAATGCAAAAAGTAATTGTGACGGCTCAAATTTACAGTACAGCAATATACGACGTTGTTTACAATCATCTTAAGAAATAACACTGAGCTGAATCGGGCTCTGCAATGACAAAATATAAGTAAAGCTTTGAAAAATGTGTAATTAAAATTCAAAGGACGCAAGCGCCTACAAATTTTGGAGGGAAATTACCGAAATTACGTCATCGATAAACTCACGTGTGAGATTATGGAAAATAAACCACTCGGGTCCCGGATGTAGTTTTCATGAATTTTACGAGTGGTATATTTTCTAGTAAAACACTCGTGTCTATATAATAAAATTTTTTATTAAACGAAGATATGATTATCGCAGTGGTAATTGCAGCTTAAGCAATTGTAAATTAACCCGAAAAAAATTTCAGGACTTCAACGGGATTCTTTATTACATAGTCTTTGCAAACATGGATATGATAGGTTACTTATTTGACACTAAATGGATGGACGTATATTAAAAAAGAATAAAACACGAGCAACGTTTATGTGCACAGAATTTAAGTTCGTCATGGGGTAAACTTTGCAATTCACGGTTGACTCCTTCATTACCGTAAAATTCCGAAAATAAGCCCCTCCATGTATAAGCCCCTCCAATTATAAGCCCCCCAAACCGGTAACGCAAAAAACCCTCCGTTAAATCGCCCCTCCAAATATAAGCACCCGGGGGCTTGTACTTGGAAAATTGCCCTCAAATACAAAGTAAAACAATGAGCAAAAACGGTAAATTTACTTCCAACTATAAGGCTAGCCCAATCGAGTTTGAAACGCATATTTCCCTCCGTAGGTAAGCCCCTCCGAATATAAGCCCTTCAAAAAGGGCCTTTGAAAAATATAAGCCTCGGGGCTTATTTTCTGAATTTTACGGTATGTTAATGTCGCCAATTATCGCATTTACTCGAATAAGAGCCACCACGACTAAGCGCCGCGGCCCTTATATAAACAATAATTTATTCGTATCGTAATAATATCGTAGTACCTTATTACATGAAATTTACGCGACATCTCTATTTCGCGATTTTGATGTGCGCATATTTCGCGACACTTAAATTTCGCAATTTTGCGAAAATTTTATATTTTGAATCACTTTAATTTTGCGTTTTTGAATACCACAATTTACATTTCATTGGCAAAGTTATTTAACATGTCCTTGAATCAAATGTAACGCCACGCGAGATTAGCCGCTTAACAAAACTCTCAATGCGGCGCTTTTATGAGCGCAGCGTTTATTTGAAAGTTGGAAGCGACAAAGAATTGTAACTAAACAGAACGGATGCTTCTTCGGGAGCGGCGCTTATTTGAGGACGGTACTTCATTGGCGGCCCTTATTCGAGTAAATATGATAATTGCAACATTAACATAATGATGCAGTCAGCCGTGACACAGCCTTTTTAGTGACGTACTAACGTACTTACTTCATTGATGACGATAACATGACTTCAATACTTTTCAGGTCTAATGATATCACTCTTAAGAGCTTATTACATTTGGCGCCAAATGTTATTACATTTAGGGCCATTTATTACGTTTAGGCTTTCTACAGCAAGTCGGTAGAAAAAAATGCTTGGAATAAGGAGTTTTCCCGTCCAAAGCAATGTCTTTGGACATAAAATAACGCATTTTCGTCATTGTCCACGTCTCGGTCTCATTCCAAAATGTGCGTCATTGCAACCTCTCTTCTGTTGTGTTTATTCCGCATAGCCTCTTCCCAGTGCTCCCTTCCACTACCCTTACTGTGCGGTCCAATGATTACCTGACCAATAAGCTCATCATTTTTCAGTAGGTCGTGGTTCATGACCTTGATGGTAACAGAATAGTCATCAATCGTCTCATTTTTCACGTCAAACAAGAAACCTTGATTCCATACTGCATTCATGCCTCGAGATCTCTTCGTTTTTCTGCTGTCCAATAGTTGCCCATTTGCGTTTAGTATCAAACACACATACGGTGCTGCAGATCGCAAACAGTCAAACAGGAAAAATAAAAAAAGTAATAAGGATCCACATTAACCGCTTTGCAGGAAAAGTACATAACCAACTCAAACCAGGCCAGCCCACTCTACCGTGGGGCTGTTTCTTCTCATGCCTTGTATCCTAAAATCATTTTTTTGTGTTTATCTGAGTAGGAGGGCTGGCCTACTTACCGAGATCTCAGTTGCTTCTCAGGGCGGAGCAGCCCGCCGTTTCAAATTAACACAACGAAAATTTATGGATAAATAATAACACAATATAAGGTAATTGGTCCCAATGCCAGACTTTAAATCGGCCAAGCCCAGGTAGCCGGGCTGCCTCATCTTATGAATAGGCAAATAAGAAGAAAACTAAGGTTAAGTAACGTTTCCCCCTAAACCTTTTTTATTCTCCGCCCGATTCGTCGGATCACACGTTGACAGAATTCCAGGAACAACTAACATCAACGAGCTTCAAAAAATCACTCTTCAGGGAACAGCACACATCCTCAGAAAGGTTCTGTCAATCAAGTAAACTCTTTGGTACCTAAAGGCCATAGTTTGGACTCGGTGGTTCAGAGACTAAACAAGCAACAATAATAATAATAATAATAACGTTTTATTGATGACTTTTCTACGTAGTAGCTCTACAATCAAGAAGCCTGTTGAAAGACGTGTTAGTGGGTGACTGAATCAAGGTCGGACGTGGTCCAGGTATATATTACTGGAAAGTGCTAGGGAAAGATGATGTGAAACAAATATAAAATTACTCTATGCGACCTACCAGTATTAAGAAATTTGCTGCTTCTCAGGAGATTAGTAGCTTTCAGCACAGTAACATTCAACCTTGCTCGGCCAGCTTCGTATCGAAGTGAGATATGAATTTCACCTCTTATCTGACTTAAAGAACGTCCTCGTGACTGCAATTAAACCGTAATCAGTGCTAGGATAAACTGTGGCAATTCAGCTGTTACAAAATGGACTTGGTTTGTATTGAAATGCGATAAATGACTGAAGTATTTCATCAGGTAAATAGTGAACTGTGGCAAACAGAGTTTGAACAAGTCTGGTGGGTTTTGGGGAAAAAATGTCTCTTTTGTGGGTATATCAGTTCAGTAAAGAGGGTCGTGTAACTGACTGAAAACGTACATCGCAGGTTACAGTTAAAATACTCCGCTGCTCGTCGTATTTTCAACTCTCTTCTCAGTATTTCAGCTGGTAATGGAACACTGCGTCTCATGCTTGATACATTACATAAACTGTGAGGCTTTTTTCATCTGATTTGTGAATGACATAAAATACAATCCGTTCCAATGCGTCACAAATTAACTGCATTTTTACAATGGAACCTCGATATAACGGAGTCTCTATCTAACGAAGTCCTCATGCTGACACTATAACGAACACTTTTCTTCATTCCAGTAATAGTAAAACACATGAAAAAGAACTTCGATACAACGAAACCTTGGTATAGCGAACAAAATTTCCCGTTCCTTTGGCCCTTCGTCAGTATCGAGTCGACTATCGAGGTTCAGTTTCAGGTGTCCCTTTAAATAGCAAATCGGCTTTTCGTTTAATTAACTGATGAAAACGTTTTTCACAAACTTGCTGAGTTAATTTATACTTAGTATTAGAACAACAGCTATTATTCGCCGTTTGTGTTTTACTCGTGATAAAGAATTAACCGGAAATACGCGTATTTCTCCTTAGATTTTACGTGCTGTCAAATTGCTTTTCAGGCATAATTTTGTCTACCCTGCTAGCAGAGTCGCTTCGATCTTTCCTAGATAAGTCGGGAAAGAGGAAGGCCTTCCTCTTTCCCGACTTATCTAGGAAAGATCGAAGCGACTCTGCTAGCAGGGTAAATTCTGTCATAGTGTTAAGAAAATGAGGCCAAACTGGCTACGTATCTGTCAACGTTGAAGGAAGTAAAACGTACATCGATAGCCTGAATGACTCCCTCCCTCTAAATAGCTATGGAGAATGGGAAAAAATATCAAATTATACCTGAGATTTAGGAAGCAGCTCTCTCCATATTATGGTCGGTTCACTGGGTAGAAACTTCTCCTTGCTGAAATGTACGTCTGTGTATCCAATCATTTTCCCTCTACTGAACTTATCGAAAGCGTACAAGCCAAGACGAAGGATCAGTTCCCTAAGTTCATTCTCCGAATAGCCAATAAACTCGAATGTCTCGTTAAAAATTGGCTCAGCAGTGTTGCTTTTGATTTCCGTGCGGTAAATGTTGGAATCGTCTGGGAGAAGCTGAAATCGCACTTGTGTCGGTGGGTACTTTCCATACCACCGTCGTGTGATATTCAGAGCACACATTATGTTAATAAACAGATGTGAATTGTGAAAATTATAGAAAAGCGAAAACTGCACCTGACAAGGTTTTCTCTCAGCAAGCTGCACAGAGGTGAAGTCGCACTCACAAGGGTTAGAAAATGAGGACAATTTCCTACAGGAGGGACAGGGAGAAACATTTTCGTTACTGCTCATCTCAATTGAACTCAAATTGAAGCTGCTCTGATCGGCCGCGAGGATCGGTTCAGACTCAGCGCTTTTCATTCTTGAGTTGCTGCTGTCACTGACTTTGTGAGCAGTCCTGTATCGACAGGCGAAGGTGCACATAAATATTGCAATAATCGCACAGATTATTCCACCAACTATCGCCGCTAACACAAGCATAAAATCTGAAAGTATAATAAACACACGACTCATAAGTTATGCATGTGAGCGTAGACAGGTACGATTGAAAAAATAGGGTTTTTTTCTTACCATTCATTACTGACAATCAGATGATTATATTAGCACCAATCGAAAATCGAAGCTCCTGGGCCATTCGTAGCGTAGCTTTACAATTTCAGAAAAGTAGTACAAACTGTACCAATGTTTTGAAGAAAAGCGTGCGTGAAAATTCATGTTCCCCTTTTAATCCATTTGGCGGAAGGCAAAAAACTTCCTTCACGGGTCATCAAACTTGACCTTGTTTAAGACATATGGACAAAGCAAACGTGGCCAACTAACAGTAACGCGACTACCTTCACGTCACGTACACGTATGATTTGCGAGCGATAATACATATGGAGTGTAAAGATAATAACATCAACTGATAATATTTATGGATATCTCAAGTTACTCTGTTATGTTCTTGGTAAATTTTTTCAATGCCAGTTTCTCAAGAGAGTAAACTTTTATTGGGCGGAATAAAACCAATGTCATGGCGGCCAGCTATTGTAGACAGTACCATTTGACCCTCCCTAGACAGTAGTGTTCTCTTGGCAGGATATGCAGAGGTGGGAGGAGAACGGTATTAGCTATAAAGGGGCTCATTGGTACGCAGTGAAACAGTACATTCCCAAACACAGGATACAAGGTGATGTTGTAAAGGTTAGGTTTTCTGTACCGTATAGACTGAATAAATACTCAACTTGAGGAGCAGGACAGCAAAAAATTTGTAACCATGCAGCACCTTTACTAGCGGATTTCACGGGGGAACAAATATTAGATAACAAAACGGCCCCAACACAAATCAATATACGCATGTAGACTCTAGATAAAATCATCTTTTTAATACAAGTTAAAAAGCCTGGAAAAATAAGGGTTTACCTTGGACTACAGTTTATTTACAAAGTGTAAATTAACGAGGTATTTGAACTCACGGTACTGATCAAGAATGCCGACAGCCTTAATAGTAATTGAAGGCTTTCAAAACGACATTGCGAATATCATCAGGATTATTAAAGGAAAATTCACAACATTTTAACCTAAATAAATTAAACTGAAATTCTTTTAAAAATAAATTTCTTCAAAGAGCTTAGTTGGGGAAAAATGCAAAACCGTAACTCTCAGACACATAAGGAAGGCGGTAGTACCGGCAATCACCGCATGCAGCAAAATTTAATTCATACACTCACTCCGCAGAACACTTATTGAAAGAAAAAAATCTTTACGCCGAAGTTTCTAGCAGTCTATTGACCCAAACGTCCAGTCAACTGGAGAATAATCAGCAAATTCTTTTGACACGCGGCTTTGGTGTGCCTGTCGCTTGCCTGGTCACCCTGGTGTGTCCTAGGTGGTGGTGGAAGGGGCCGACATCATACCGACACTCTTGCTTCTAAAAAAACAACAAATCAGGCACCGTTACAAAGAAAGAGGGAATACAAGAAGACTCCATTCTTAATTTAGACAGAAAGTTGCTTCACTTCGTTACAAACGTAACCCACAATCAGTCTAAGTACACAAGGTGGTTAATTTTAGGGGTGGTTAGTCAGACATGGTCACAGCCGAAAACAAAAAGAATATTCAGGAGAAATGTTCGACGTCTGTACTATCAAAAGAGACTACTGAGTCGTTTAAATAAATACTGCATAAAACCTTATACCTTAACTTCTTCAAAGATGTCGGCGTGCTGCATGAGAGCCTATCACAGAACATGCCGATCACTTTAGGAATAGCTTTGGTTTCTAAAATTTAACTATGTGGTTAAGTCTGGTACATATTGCATTTTCCATAAAAAAAGAACTAATCTTTGTCATACCGTTTTCGTAAAGTCGCTTTGTTTTCTCTTCTCCTCGGACTCGAAGGTGGATCTACTTGTACAGCTTTTCTACAAAGGGAAAAAGAAGAAATGAGTATCCAAACCGTTACCAATTTGGGCGCGTCTCCTACACCTGATCGGTCTGTCTTTACTTTCATACATTTACATTTTTAACTTTTTTTGTCCGAGATACCGAAAAGACAAGAGAGGATAAAGGGGACGGAGAAGGCATCCCCCATACACACCCTATTCCACAGGTAATTCGTCTCGAGTTATTTTTAGAATCGGGATAAAGTTACCTCGCGTGCTGCGTGGATGTTTCGTGGAGGTTTCGCATGACTAAACGCCGCTCAAAACATGTCGGGCGAAAGGCAATGAAAGCGTAAAGAGATTGAGAGCATTCCTGAATATTGAAGCGAAATGAATCGGCGCTCACCTGGGAAAAAGGAATCGCTGGACTCTTTGACAACCCGTGAAATTAGTTTAACTCAAAGTTGTCGTAACCTCAGTGCTTTAATAAAATGAGAAATTTCGCCGTTCTATTGAAACCGGTCGTTGGTACAATAAAGCAAGTAGGACGCCAAGTGTTATTTTTTTTGAAAATAAAAGACTAATAAAAGAACAAATATCAAACCAGAAATTGCTCTCTTCAAACTGTAAATTATAAATGATCCTGAGGGAATATCCAGTCTGTTAAGGATTTCCCTGCTGTACTGTTAGCTCTATACAAGAGAGGAAGGGCGATTCTTTTTTAATTTCCGTTTCGCTGACACAGCTTTAGCAGAAATCTCGCTGTAGTCGTTTTCGTCGACAAAACGAATAGCAATAGCAATATCGCTCTCCGCCATTTTGTTCTGCGTCAATTCGTGAAGGACGCGTGGCTCTGAGCGTGGGTCATCCACGCGGAACACATTCGCGCTATGTGATTGACTGTTGTCTAATCCCCCTTGGGATCTGTGGTCTTAAACATAACTCGAGACGAATTTCCTATGGAATAGGGTGTGTATGGAGGATGCCTTCTTTGTCCCCTTTATCCTCTCTTGCGAAAAGATCATCACACAACACACCAAGCTAGGGCAATAATTATTGTCGGTGAAGGGTGGTCCGCGATACTGGCTATCTGGTATAGCTACACGGTTTGACACACGCCCACAACTGTTCCAGTAATTGGCTACATGAACACGCAAAGCATCAAAGCCAAGCAACACAAGTAACAAGGAATCTGACTTACTCATATGCTGCCGTCCTCATTTTACACAATTCTTCCACTTGATTACGAAGCTCATCACGTTCATATTCCAAATGTTTACTTCAAGAAAGAAAATAGATGAATTAAATGTCCAAAAAAATTCAGGAGAAATTGCAATTAAATCTGTTTTGTAAATGTATGCAAGGCAAGTGAAAGCGAAGAAGCTAAGCGTAGGATTTAGAGTTGTTTGTCATCGATTACAAAACAAACTAAAACGTTGTAAAACTGACGAAATGGGGCAGCATTTACAATCGCAATGACACAATAATTCACCTTTTCATTTCAAGAGCAATTTTTTGTTCTGTCAACAGAGTGAGTCTTGTTTCCGTCGATGAATCAGAATCTAAAAACGACAAATTAAAGGTGTAAACAGCTGTTAATATAAAACAAAAATGACAAGCTTCCTATAAATTGTTCTGTTCAGACAAGGGTAAGCTGGTAGTCCCCCACAAATAGCCTATTAGAGATATAACAAGTGCTTACAAAATGGGAACGAAAACCACTCCCTCAATGGATGAACAGAATGCTAACTTCAGGGTATAAAACGATGACAATCGCAGGACAAACGGAAAGACAAGTCCAACAAAAGATAAAGCATAAGAATTAAAAAAAAAAAACTCACTCGAAGGGTGATCATCGTCTTTTTGACTCTTTGCCATCTATGAGAAAAAATAATCGACGAAATAACACTAGCAGTAATCGGGGATTGGTAAAGTGGAAAAGTTTGTACGATTTGGAGACGCTGGCGTTTAATCAAGGAGATGGGTTAGAAAGAGCCACGTTCTTCAGTTTTAGCAAAACCGAAGTATCAGCAGCATCTTCAATGTTATTACAGCTTTTTAAAGTTTTTTTTAGTAAAATTAGCATATTCAACAATGAAGTAAATACAGTAGATCGTACAGTACAGGAAAATGCAAATTTATTTCCATTTCCCGAACGAACTCAACGCAACACTCAGCATCATGTTTTTTAAATTTTAAATAGCTTCTTATTACAATGTGCAATGAAATTTTCCTTTTAGCAGAACATGTATCAAATATCAATGATCCTGAGATTTTCCCACAGTTGGTTTGCAGTATTCTGACAAATCGCCAACGTGAATTCGCAGTTTTTCGATTGCCTGCATGTTGATTACTTGTCTTAGTTCTGCAAACCAACAGTATGTCCAGCTGATTTCGTTGTCGTTTGAACTGTAAATAATAATAATTCCTTTATTTACCCTCGGCAGTATTTATAGCACTTATGCTAGTGGGGCTGAGCAAATGACTGAAACAAATAATCAAATATATTCAAGCATAACAGGGTTAAGATTCCCAACTGGCCGGAGTCAAACTAGAAGTAATTTACAAGCGAGGGCGGGACTTGACTCGGCGCCTGCGAATTGCAAGTCCAGCGGTCTCACGCTGCCTCCTCGTGAAGCAGAAACAAGTTAGTGGGAGAACTGAAAAGTGACGTGAAAAATAAGGAGCGTGGTGAAATTGCATATTGAGTGACAACCAATTCACTCGCTCCGAGGTCAATTAAAGAACGGTTAGAGACTGGTGCGAATGATTTACCATTGAATAACTACAGTAAACACCCGCATATAAGAACAAATGGATTAAGAACACCAGACTGAAATTTGGCCAATTAAGTCCCCTTTTTATAAGAACAAGATCGGCCTGAAAATTGTACATGTTCTTATAAAATGGAAAAAGTGTCATAATTACAAAACATGTAAGTTTATGTTTGCTGTCAGATAACTTTATTTGTTAAAAAAATCAAATTACAGAATAATTGTTTATTTTATTTTTCTAAAATATGCTAAATATACCTCTAGCAACCTGTTCTGGATAGTATTACTAAATAAAAATTTACGAACATTTTAAGACCATTTTGAGACTGATTCGCCTTTAAGCACCCGATAAATAAGGACTCAATCAGCCTGACCTCCGAAATCGTGTGTTCTTATGTGCGGGTGTTTACTGTACCACACTTATGGCTGCTTCTGCAAATATAGTTAAGCGCATGATACAGCCAGCAAAGAAAGAATATTAGTGGTTTCTATCATATTATCGAAACGGAATTAATTAACCACTTGTTAGCTGCGATGTCTATTTCGCGTGTTTTTAGTGGCAATGACCTCTCAAGGAAAACCCGGCTAATAAAAAGCAAATACAGCGCATGCGTACCTGCAGTAAATGCTTTTCTTTCCTTAAGTCTGTTCTCTCTCGCTCCTGCTGTCGCTCCATCTCTTCTTCAAATGCATCCCTTAGTTGCTAAAAAAAAAAACAACAACAATCAAGATTAGCAGACATGAACAACGTTATAAGTGCCATGGTTTTTTCCTCTTTACACAGGAATGAATGCATAATTAGTAGTCACGCCTTTTTGACTTCTTGGTTTTAACACAATGCAAACGATATTTTGGTGTTTATGCAAACATTCCGTTTTCAGTACCTAAGGTATTACAAAAAGGAGATCAAACGGGAGTAGAGTTTTAATATCCATTTCTAAAGATATAACCATTCACATAATGTGACTGTATGTACACCCACTTAATTTTGATCTTATATGTAAATATTCATAGTAGTGTATATTAATTCAAACACTAAACATCTATAATGACATAAGAAAGGTTCAATCTACCTGCATTCCATTAAGAAGGTCTTGGGAGTCCTGTAATGCCAAGTCTCTCTCGATCATCAGTTCTTTTAATCTTTCATTAAGGGATGTATTTACAGAAGTCAGTTTTTTCATCTCGTTGAATTCCGTTTGAGAAATTTCTGCGGACTCAAACTTCTGCACAAAACTTCTGGAAACAAGAAAGCAAACAAACAAGGGGGGATAAGCGTAGAGATAACAACTGAACTAGCTAAACTTTTACTAATAATCTCGGCTTGCTTGTTTGACTACAAGCCTTCCATTCACAAGCAAGCCCTGTGCTGCGAACACACTGCCTTTTCTTGTTTGTGGGTCAGTTGAAAGTCCTCTCCTTATTCAGAGTAGCTTGTGAAACGCCACACAGAGGAAACGAAATAGGTAACGGAATAGGAAATAGGAAAAGAAGAATAAATACCCAGACTGGGCTCTGAAGTGGTTACCAAGGTTACGTCCAGTTATGAGTATAACTGAGGCAATGAGACCTACAAATTCAAGTGTCATCTGTTCATTTTGTGGCATGGTCATTGTAAGCACATATCACATAAAAAATTTATTTCATTAATAGATCTTAATATTACCCAATTCCTACCAAGTTTGCACAAACCCTTTGCCAAAAGAGAAGAGAGTATACACTAAACATGGACGTGTGATAGTACTGAATACAAAGAGAAGTTTTACTTGTCATTCTCAAGTGTTCTCCTTTTCAGTGGCGATCCCGCCTTGGATGTGAAATTCTGCAAGGGAAAATATACCGACGTAACATGGGGCAGTAACCTGCCCAAACGTTGAGTGGACTTTTGGTCAGCTTGAGTTGAGTACTGCAGCGAACTTCGCTAAATGGAAGTAGGTGTAATAAATTGCCCAAAATTATTTTGACAAAAAAGTTAAGGTTCTATAATTATACGTTCACGTCGCAAATTAGTGCGCTTACAAGCAACTAATACATTCTGTTGCGGGTAGTGTTGAGCTCACAAACATAGCCTTTTTCGAGTCCATGTCGGGAATCTTTGGAAACCAATGCAGCCTTGGAGACTACTAAGGCCTAGGTCACGCGTTGAACTTTTCATGAGAGGAACCAGCGTTAGTGAGTTAAGTTCTTGAAAAGTTCGACTTCTGGCTCAGTTAAGTTCGTCTGAATGAGTTTGGATCGTCCAACACGTTCTATCCGTCTGCTTCAGACGGGTTATATTTTGCCTTGTTTGGCTAAAATTGCTTGTTCGTCTGATTCAGTTGATTGGTTCAACGGGTCCTAAGTTCGACCCAACAGACGTTCTTAACTTAATTTAGGTCGACCCAGATTAGCTCAAATTAGAGTTTGGTTCGTCTCATGGAAAGCTCGACGTTTTCCGTTCGGCCTAGGCCTAAGGCATTTTTAAAAAATACGGTAACAACGGGAGAGGTTTGTGCGCTAGCATAAGGCCACAGTCAAGTGGACCCGATGAACTTTTCATTAGAAGGTATGTCTTTTTCCTTAGCAGGTATGGTTGACTCAAGGAATTCTTGGTCTGACCATGTGCCTTACTCAGGCTGATTCGTCAAAGCACCACTAAACTATAACCTTCGCTTTACATTTCGACGGAGTACAAGAAGCTAACAGTAATAAGATAAGACTGACGAAATTGATAAAATTGATTCTTAAATGGCTGTTAACCCTTGACTAAACAAAACATTCCTAAAAAGTGGTTTAGGGTCGTTTAGCAATACTGACAAGCATTACTCTTAAAAGTGACCCGCGCTTTTGTAGCCTCATGGTCAGCACAGTCAAGGTTGTAACTCGGAGAGTCGTATAGTTAAAGCCTCACGTGGAGCTCGGAATTCTTTTCTGAGCATTCTGGTGTTTGATTTATTTTTCTTCCTTTCTTTTTAAACCGTAAAATAAAAATGCTAACGAAGCACAATTTCAATCACAGCAGGAAACGAGAATTTTACTTTCCAACATTTTTTACCTGTTGCCTCTCTGAAGAGATTATAGCTTCAAGTTCAATAACTTCCTGGCATTTTTGCATTAACTCATCTCGCAACGTACAAATCATTTGACTCCTGCAAAAGCAAGCGCCTTCATTTCATTGCATGACACTACTTTTTCAATAACTTCCTTCTACCTCAAAACTTTAGAAGCAAGGAGTATTAGTGCAAAGTAACGACACTACATTGTGACATAAATAATAAACCAATCGTAATATATGGCTAGCTGGAATTTTTAAAATAGGGGTTGACCGGTAACCTGTAACTTCTCTCAACTCCCTCTTTCTAGAATTGTTTACTTTGTGGTTTGTTCTTGTTATCATGATTACTTTTTTGTGTTTAAGAGAAACTTCTTCTTGGTCATTTAAGACATCTAACAAATCTATGCAGCTATGAATCTCCAGGTGCCTCGCATACAGCAAATGGAAGGATGGTAAAAAACAGTCCTTTTCTTCCAAAGTCTGCACTTAAAAGGATATGACGTTCACACCATCGATTGGTCACCGTGGAGTTTAACCGCGAGCGCCATGAGCTCCAGTATCATCATAAATAAAATAATAAATTAAATAATTTAGGTAAATAAAAGCATCAGGTAACCTGCTAGAGGTCTTCGCAGCAAGGTCAGCATAATCTTTCCTCAACTGCATCAGCTCTTCTGATAATTTCTGTGACTTAAATAACAAAAAAAGGCCATTAATTCATAACCCAAACCCGACCAAAAAAACCCTGCGAAAATAGATTACTTACTCTGAAAATCTTGTTTATGGCTACTGGCTGACACAAACTGAAGCATTTTTACCTGCTCCTGTTCCTGCTGTAAATCGCGGCAATGCTCTTCAACTTCCTTTCCCTGAAGACAATACAATTAGATAAACCACCTGTCTTAAACGTCAATGAATTCTTGTTAGACCTCAGAAACAGGAACAGTATAGCACTAACTGGAGTGATAAAGTCTTCTCCAGATTGCCAGATGGACGAAATTAGGGTAACTACGTTTAAGAAAGAAAATAACAAAGGACACATGATTTATATTGCCTCCTTTCTGACAGATTCTCCGTGACTCTTCTAAGCCAAACCACCAAGACAGATGTCGTGAAAAGCTCTCCTAGGTTGCGGTATTTTTGGAAAGGAAAAAAGTTTTATACATCGCATTATTTGAGCTGTTATTGTTGGTGAAAGAGAGAAAAGTGATTCCGAGCTGAACCTCCTTATGATCAACAAAAGAGGTAAATTTTTCACAATAATATGTATAGTTTCTACTTCACGTGATAATAGTTTATGGCAGTAGCTGTAGCCCAGTATTAGTCGATGCAGTAAGTCTGTTATTAAACATTTAATGACTGGTCCTGAGGGAAACAGTTAATGTTGTTTCCTGAGAATCTCTTTTTTTCCGAGGCAGAGCCGAGGTAAATATTGAGATTCGAGGGAAAAAAATTAACTGTTTCCCAAGGGACCAGTGATTTGTTATATAGCTGGAAATTGATGAAACCTCGCTGTCGTCGGTCAACATTCGCGGATAGCTGAAAAAAAAATTCAAAAATTTTGCAATGTTGCCCACTAAGAGATTTGGCGAGAAACAGTTTCACTGTTAGATGTCATGTGAGATGAGCCTGTGGTGTCATGGCACTTGGACGTGAACTTCTTAGCTCATCTAAAGTCTTATTAGTTTTAGCGTTTTATCATTTCTTGAGTGCTGAGTGTAGTTCGATACAGTACTATTACGATGATACCAGCTTCTATTCAGACCCCAAGACTGCTCTTCTTTCTTCGACGAGTTTTCCGTGGTAATGGAAATTTTATGGCGAAATTGTTCCAATATCATCTTACTGGGAGACTTCAATGTTAATTTATCATCCTCGTGTGACCTTTCTTTAAAAAGGAAATTCACGAGCCTACTTTGTAAATTCAATTTAAAGAACGTTATCGACGTCCCCACTAGACTCACCGGCGATACATCTTCTCTGATTGACCTGATTATTACGTCTGTTCCTTCCAAGTTTTCTAGTCATGGTGCATATAATCCTGGAATATCCGTCCACCACCTGGTTTATGCTGCTGTAAATTTGTGAAGGATTTCTGAGAAACCTAAATTAAAGCTAGTCCGGGATTTTAAAAGACTTGACATCAAAGCCCTTCAACTTGAATTTGCGTCTGCTCCATGGTTTATCTGTGGTATCTTTGATGATATTGACGACTCTGTTTGGGCATGGGATGCCTTATATAAGTACATCATCGACCAACATATTCCTCTTAGAAAGACTAAAGTTAGATCAAATAGTTTGCCCTGGATGACTTCGTCCTTGAGAAAAGAGTTGAATAAGAGATATAATCTTCTCCTTAAAGCCCAAAAAACACCAAGAGGATTTCCTGAGTGGTTGGCTTACAAGAAACAAAGAAACTACTGTACTAAATTGTTAAGATCAGCTGAAATTTCTTACTGGAATAGCAAACTCACCAATGCTAAATCCAGTAACAATTTTGGAGCTTAGTCAAATCCATCCTAGGCAACAACAAGTGCTCTACCATTGGCCCAGTGAAGTCCCCATCTGGTTCACTTCTAACCGACAATTTCTCAAAGGCAAATGAATTCAACTCCTACTTTACCAATTGTTTATTGTTTATTGTTTTGTTTGCCAAAAGTTGTGCAAAGCAAACAATTCTAATTATTTAAACTCTCATGGCGAGGAAGCCCAAGAGAAGCGAAAATATAAATCAATCCAATAAACGTTCAACTCTGGTTAATACTAACAGTTCATCAGCATTGGATCTTTCCACTCAACCAGTTAATCACATCTACAAAATTAACCCTACTTTACAGTCATTTACTGTCAATAGAGAGCTCCTATCCTATTTTTTCAAGCAGTACATCAAAGTGGGAAAAGCCGGTGGCCCTGATAAAACCACTGGCAAAGAACTACAAATGTTGAGTGATGTCTTCGTTGATAACTGTCTTAATATTGCCAAGAAGAGCTTCGATGATTGCATGTTTCCATCACAATGGAAGACAGCACAGGTTCTCTGTATCCATACAAAGGGAAGTACTCAAGACTCTGGAAAATACCGTCCCATTTCACTTCTAAATATACCAATTAAATTACTGGAAAGTATTACTTGTTCTGAACCAGACTCTTTTCTGAACCAACACAATCTAGTTACTGACTCCCAAAGGGGCTTCCGAAAGGGTAGATCCTCTGAGTTGCTGCTTCTTGGCATGACAGAGAAATGGAGGCTTGCTTTAGATGAAGTAAAATCAATTGGCATTATCTTTATTGACTTCCAAAAAGCCTTTGACTGTGTCTCATCAAACTTTACCTAAAAACCTCCAAGCTTCAGGTTTATGTGGTGACTCATTTGACTGGGTTGTTAATTACCTTAATAACTGATACCAGTTTGTGTCTATCAATAGTACAAATTCTGAGTAAATGAGATTAACCTCTTGCGTGCCCAAGGTTCCTTGTTGGGCCCAAGACTTTTCAGCGTCTTTACAAATGACCTGCCTTTGTCCCTTGACTCAAAGTTAGAAATGTTTGATGACGACTCCACTGCCTTTATTATTGGAAACTCCACAGACTCCATTTCAATCCACATACAAGATCTCTTGCATCAACTAATTACCTGGTCTAAATTTAACTCTATGTTCATCCATCCAGTCAAGTCAGAAGTAATACTCATCTCAAAAACACCATTCATCGGTCCAATCAGACTCATCACTATAGATGATAAGCCCATCAGTTGTGTCTCCAGTTCATCTTGAGTCGAACTTGATGACAAGCTCAACTGGTCTCCTCATATCAAAATGGGTACTTGAAACTTCAACGCAAAGATTTCAAACTTAAACAGACGAATACCTTCAACGGCTCCACTCTGGAATCTATCTACTTCAAAGGTATTTTGCCAAGTGTGACTTATTGTATATCCCTGTGGGGATCTTCCAACTTGTTGGCTGACCTCGAGGACTCGCACACCCGTGCTGCCAGACTGATTCACAATATCAGCATATCTAGCCCAAAACACGAAGTACTCAGCATAGCTAAATGGACATCTCTACATTATATGTATGAGAGAAGACTTACTTGTATTGCTTACCAGGCTTTTTATAACCTAGCTCCTGATGCATTATCAATTTATTTACAAAGCACGGAACTCCATATAATTTGAGAGATAATTTAAGATTGGAACTTGTGTGTTCTAAATCCAAAGCCTTACATGATTCTTTCACTCATCGTGCTAGCATTGTTTGGAATTGCTTACCTAACCAGTTAAAGTACAAGCCTAGTTACTCTTCATTCAAGGCCAACATTAAGAAATTCTCTAAACGCATCGACCAAATTACTTTCGGCACGAACTCTACTGCAACCAATAATAATAGTGATGAATTTATATATTATTGATATCTAGTTTATTACTAGTGATTTTGATTACTCTTCCTTGTATCTTTTATTTGCATTGTCAAAGTTGACTTAATTGGAATTTATATTTTTATTTTTACATAGTCATCTTAAGCTTATCTATTTATTTATGTATTATTTGTACTTATAATTATTTATACTAGGATATACGGTATTTTTAGATGTTAATTCATTATAGTTTAAAGTAGATAGCAGGCCCACATCAGCAATAGCTGCCATCTATTCAACCTGGTTTATCAAATAATGATGTATGTATGTACAGCGGAACCTCGATATAACGAACCTCTATATAACGACGTCCTCGGTATAACGAACAATTTTCTTTACCCCAGTAATAGTAAAATATATGGAAAAGTACCTCGATATAACGAAACCTCTTTATGGCGAACAAAAATTGCCAGTCCCTTGACCTTCGTTGTATCGAGGTGCCACCGTATGCATGTATGTGTCCTCAAAGTAACCAATGAGAGCGCGCGCTGTTGGCAAAAAAATTTCCAGCTATATAACAATGGTATTAAAAATTATTATCATCATATGGGGGAAAGCATTGTGTTGTTTTTTTGAATTGGCCATCTAAGTGCTTCTTACCTTCCTTTCAAGCTTTCCCCATACTTTACTGAATTCTGATTTGAGGGTTTTCAGTTCAAGACAAACTTCGTCAAACGATTTCTTAAAAAAGCAGGAAACCAATATACACATCAGGGGTGTAGCTTCCTGTGCGCCAGTACGCACATGCGTACCTCAAAAAATCGGTCAAGGGTTAGGGAAGAAAACACACCCACCCACACACCCAGCCAAAGAAAAAACAAAGCAAAGAAACAAAAGGTAAAAGTAAAAACTAAAAATTTTTAAACGTTCTTCAAGGAGCCAGCTTTAAATAATTTTGTAAATACTTCTTCGTTAAGTTTAAAACATTGTAATTAGTAATTAGCTAGCACTGTAATTAGTATTGAATTGAGTGTTGTAATTAGTTATTGTAAATAATGTAATATAATCATTGTTTCTGAAAAGCCCCTTTGGGGAGGTAACAATAAAGGTTGTAAAGTATGTAAGTAAAAACTCTGCTTTAACTTCCGCAAATAATCAAGCTCGAGCACTGACATCAGGTATGCTCCCTTTAATTTATGAACTAAAAAACGCCCAGGAACAAACACCATGACACGCTACACGCTGACACGCTTGAGTGGAATTTTTTAGACCCTGTTTACACGGAGTGGGGGACCCCGGTCTATGGGGGACACAAAACAAAAGAAACTTACCCCACTAGACCGGGGTCCTCCACTCCACGTAAACAGGGTCTTAGTTACACTTTCTTCTTCTGTTATTTTGTTACTATTTTCTTGGCACAATAGTAGTAACCTATTAAAGTGTCTGCGTCCTTCCCAAAAGAGGTAAATTTGCTTTAAGGACGAGTGGTATCTGACGGGATTAGCAATAATTTGTTGATATTACCTTCATTATTTCTTTGGCCTTCTTCACTGCCTCTTCCTTATCTTGTTCAAATTTCTGATTGATCTCTTCTGTGTTATTTTCTGGCGCTTGGACCGTAAACTTTGGCAATTTAACCAAAGCACAAAGTTAGACCAACAATAAATCACTCGGCAAAATTTAACAGAGTGGGTTGTAAGGACATAACAAATACAAAGTTCTTTGAGGATATCTTAAATACTAAATGAGATGTGACCATTTTTCGTTCTTTCCAGTGTCATAAACACTAATTAAGACAGAACATTCAGAAATCAATGAAGTTTAATAACGCCACCACTGGAATGATTAAAAATTGCGTAGTATTACATTGCATAGTATTAACGATTAATGGCAAATTTCTTGTGTTAGTGATGTGATAGCGGACCGGGAATAAGCTGCGAGAGAGTTAAGTCAACGAACGAGACGACAGCAAAATGAAGAGAGATGACTGTTCAATAGAGAGGCCGGGTGTACTGTTATGGTACAGGGCTGGTTAGTCGTACCTTAGAAGTTAAATCTCTCCTAAGTTGCGTGTTTTCTGCTACAAGCTCAGCTTGTGTCATTTCCAGTTCACTCCTCTGAAGAAGCCACACATTCTGTTCATTCTGTAAATTACTCACTTGAGATAACAGCTCCGTTTTTTCAGATTCCAGCCTTTGAGATCAAGGATTACAAACATAAGAACCAAGAAGAACTCGACTCTCTAACTATTCGTTTCTCAAATACGAACAATAAAGGGATGAAATGATGAATACATGACAATCACATTCACCAGAACTGCGGAACGTAAAGAACGCGCCCTAGACGATAAATGCGCCATTTACGCAGCAGGAAAAAGGGAAATCGCGTGATCAAAAGTGTATCGTGTATTAAGAAACTGAAGAAGGAAAATCCTAAGAAGAGACTGGAACAAAATCACACGCTAAATCCTCATTTAAAGCTTCAAAGCCCCATATTTGAATTGAAGGGTGCTGCCCACTACCCGTGACAATGATTAAGAACACCGGCCTCAGAGAAATAGCGACACTAACGCTGACGTCACCTATTGACATTAATATGCCAAACCAGAAGCGCATTGGTTCTTACAACAACATATTCTTTTGTTTCACTCACTACCAAAAAACAATGTTTTTAAAAAGTAACGTCTAAATTTCATGTCCTGAAAATAACGGACAAAAGACCAATTTTAACACTTCAAATCAAGATGGACAAAGAGGTCATGGAAATGATTGAGGTTTAACAACCTTCACTGGGTAATCTTACAAAAGGAGTGTTCCGTGACGTGGCTATAAAACATGAAATAGATATAAAGTTACCTTGCTAAAGTTTCCTTGATCTTGTACACCTCGTCTTGCAAGAAATTAACACTAACTCGTTGTTGACTAATCATAAAAACAGTATCTTAAAGTTACTTTCCAGCACAAGAAATAGCCCTGGATATATACATGTACGAAACACTTAGGAGTTCTTAACAACTCATTTAAATGTGTCCGCGAGTTCCAGATCAAATTGGAATCAGTTGGAAATGTTGGTTTTTGAGGAGAGGAGAAAGGCGAAGAATCCGGAGAAAAAGCTCACGGAGCATGCGTAAGGGAGAGAACCAACAACAAAGTTAACGTGCCGATCGACGCAGTTATTTGAATCCAAGCTACCTTGGTGGGAGGGAGGTGCTCTCAGCACTACGCCATCCAAGCTCGGCATTTCTTAAAAGAGAGAAAAGTTACTCACTTGGCAGTTATTGTGGATGGTCCTGATTCCTTTAACACCTTCTAAATGAATATAACATTTATTACTTAGAGAGCAGACTTAGAGTGCCTTACTGAAATCTCTATTATAATTTAATCAAATTATTATTTCATTTCCTTAGTGGTTCTACCAACATATTAATCTAGTTAGCAGCAGCTTGTTGTTCAAAAAGCTATCTTTGGTCAGCTTGGTGCAGGAAAAAAAACTAAAACAAGTTTGTTCTCAGTTCACGCCATAATCACCTTATCCGTGTTCTCAGAAACCTTTTCTAGTTTGTGAAGATTCTGACTAAAATCCTCTGATTTTTGTTCCAAGGCACAAGTCAGCTGTTCAAGCTTCTGAAATGCCTCCTTCACATGGGCTGACTCCTCCACAAGGAGATCATTGACCTAAAATATATAGAAACTTATAAGAGATTGTGGACCTGCCAAATTATTGTTCGCGGATAAATCAAAGAGGTTCGATCTCATTCATGCAATTCTTATCAATGAACAACCGCGACTGGACGAGTTCCATCTCGTACTCCTGATTACCTGGATTAACCGATTGTTTTGCCTAATAGAACGCAAGCACTCAGGATTGGGAATACCGTCTCAAAATGGAAGTCACGGCAAAAAGGAGGAATCCCGTCTCAGGGCATTAAACCGGCAGGCTGTGCGTTTATTCACCATTATGTTTGATAATCATGATTGCGCCTATCGTGGATGGCAACAATACCATTGAAATAATTAAGGTATATATTTAAGCCACTCAGTAAAGCGAAAAAAATATGCCTTGTTTGGCAACATTCAATTGCTGCAAAACAAGAAATCACCAACAAAACAAACCTGTTTTGAAACAATATTCAGGTTGTCAGCATATGTTACAAAAAGTTGTTGAAGAAGGAAGAGAGTGGTTTTTCTATGCACACTTCTACATACATGTTTACTATTGTTAAAACATTGAATAACCCTTCAATTGAGCTCTGTCAGTACACTGTGTCCCCAGTAAGCAGGGCGGGGCCGGACTTAATACAAGTGTGTTGCTAACCATTTTTAAGCACAGCCTCTCACTAATTTCTTTCTGAAGTCTCTGGTCCTGTTCCAGTTTGTTCTTCAGCAAACATTCATGTTCTTTTATCAGATTACTGAAACTACGCTTATGATGCTGGACTTCCTCCTCAAGTACAATCACTTTGCCATTTACCATGTCACGCTCCTGATGAAAAGAACATTTATAAAATCATAACCAACGCCGTAACACTTTATGTCAAGTGCCTCAGACGAACAAATTACAAATTACACTATGAAATGCTCTGCGTACATCAAAGAGTTAGCTTCAGAGAGACAGCGCTAGAACAGGTAAAGAACGGGTGAAGGTACTAACAAACTCAAGAGGACGCCAAGCGGCGAATGGGTTGCCGCGATGACGAAAAACTATCTACAGGAGGCCCGGGAATACTTAGGTTTTAAAGCTTTTAAGATTTTAAAAGTTATTGAGCACAATTCACAACTCCATAACGATGAATGCAAGAGAACATAAAAAATAACTTTGACATAATTAAAAACCGAAAAAATTCAGTATCTGCTTGCTTAATACATGTTGCAAATTTTTTTATCTGAACACATTAATATACCATTTTGAGCTGTGCAATCTCCTCGTTAAGTTGGTGTATCTTGCCCTTTGCATCCTCTGTGGCTTTCATCCTTATGAGTAACTGATGTTTAACAGCAGCATGGTCTTCGTGGATTTTTTTGTACTCCTAAAATCACACAATTACGACTGCGGTTACAAACTTAAACAGAATATAATTAGTTGAAAAAGACGAAAGAGCAGTAGAAACTGAGAAGAAGCTGGTAAAAAAGCAAGGGGAAGTCAAGATCCACTTTCAACTGTTAAGTTTGAGGCAATGCGTATACGTCAGTAGTTCGTACTTGTATGAAGTGCATTACAACTGGTCGTGCATGATGCATCCTTTCAGTAGTATAACTTGGCGTTTTTGTAACAGGCACCGCGGAATAAGGTCCAGATAGATGGGCCTTATCATTATACGCTGCAAGGGAGGGGAGGCATTAGCTCCAAGGGCACGATCCCCGGAAAACTGGAATTTTAGGTGTTCTGTAGATTGCGTAGCAGGTGCCAGTTTCTTTTTTTAGGGCAAACGACGAAATCTCCAGGACGTGTTCCCGGCTTGCGCGGAATGTAATAAACAGTAATAAACAAAATAACAGTAATAAACAAACTTTCAAAGTAACAACAATTCCCACAACCACACATGTATCTTTACCTAGTTAATACATGCAGACTTTAGTTTTAAATTCCCTCTTTTAGTGTTGAGAATCCTATTCCTTACTTTTTCTCAAAGCGAAATCGGTCGAAAGACCAATACCTCTTGAAGTTTTTTGTTGTCCCGCTCTAGAACGGTTACATAATTAGATGTTTTATCAAGAACATCTTCCTTCTCGCGAGCCTCCGTTTGTAAAGCATTGTAAGCAGTAGACAGGACAGTCAGAGCCTTATCCAAATCATTCACCCTGTAAGGGGGAAGAAAATTCAGAAACGGCTATTGCTAAGTAGACTTTTACATTTTTTTAAATAGTTTTTCTGTAAATCACTTTTCTTATAACTAATTGTAAATTGTGTAGTGTTCGTCTTTAATTCCAAAGGGACTGTAAATAGGTTCTTATTTTTGTATTTCTTGTAATGTTTGCGCAGAAAATTTGATTATTTTTATAGAAAATGCGCTGTATAAATATTAAATATTATTACACAAGTCAATTACTTTGATAAGTCTGGTACTTCAGAGGCTATTGTTAAGTACTGCAAGTCAATTACTTTAATAAGTCTGGTAATTCAGTTACAACGCTCTGAAAACTAAGGACCATGCATGTACATTTCGGCGTAGAAAAAGAGACGAGATGTTCAGAAACCGACATGTAAATATGGTCCACGACGTTTCTGTAAAAATGGACAGCAGTGAGAAGTATAATCCTGCAGTATATTCATCATTATTAGCGAAATAATTCAAATACCAGTTCATTATATCCGTGATTATATCACAACCGCAAACGTACTTAAATCAAATAACAGTTCATTATACCACAACCGCAAACGTTATTGTATGAATGTACCAGTTCATTATACTACAACCGCAAATGTACTTGTGGAGACCTACCTCAGAAGGAACTTTTCTCGATTTTTCAAACTTTCCGATTTGAAAAACTCAAAAGCTTTCTTTTCCACTGTTAAATGATGCATTTCTCCCTGCAGTCCCTAAGAAATACAAGATAAATATTTGAACGCTTTATCAAGATCAGAGTTTTCTGGATTTCGGATGTTGGAGCTATATTATCGGTGGGAAAAATAAATAAATCAATGGAAACGCGAGAAACATGAATAAATAAAACAAAAATAAATTAGTCCAATGGAGGTTGTATTTAAAATTCGATGAATCCGTGGGTATTTATACCAGTACCGATTTGAAACAAAAGTTTTTCTCTAGATTTTGCGACTTTCTTTGTTGCCTTGGTGAAGAGAGATACCGAAGAATGCTAACGTTTGGCGGAAATGACTGGCAAGATTGAAATGGCAAGTTACTGGTTTCGATACGCCTTTCTTCGTTGTTTCTTGCAACATCTTGAAGAAGTTCGTGGAGATGGCCGCCTGGTTTTCGGCCTGTTTCGCCCGTGCATAACTTATTTACACAGCTTACAGTGATGCAATACATCATTAGACAGCGGATATGCATGAAACGGTTACTGCTTTGAAGCCCGTATTGTATACGGGATTTTAAGGTTTTGTACTCTTTTAGCTTTTTAAATGTGTTTAACTTTTGCGAAATGTAAGTTAAGTTTTATTAGTTTAGCATGAATTTTTGCTAACACAAATGATAAAGACTTTTTTAAAGCCCTGTAGCGGATTGCAAGCCTACTTATGCGTTTCAAGTGGTTACACTGAAAGGCAGCGCTGATCTGATCCTACAAAAAGGCTTGTATTACAGCATAGGGTAATAAGTAGGAAGTTTCGGGAATTCGGTGTAGAATTTGAAGAAAAGAGAGTCAAACTTTGAAGTTTAAGGATTGCAAAACTGAAAAGATATGGAAAATATAATGGGAGAGCTAACAACGCATTTAACAGTTTAAAACTTGATTATCCGGCCTCGCCTCATGTTCTGCACTCAAGCTTTCCAGTTGACCTCGTAATAAGCATAGTTCTCTCTCACTTTCTATAAGCCTCTCTGCTTGGCCCTGTTTTAATAATAAAACAATTATCATTTAATACACAGTAGTATCTTAGGTACACTAGGTAGCTTTTAGTAGATTCTTTCAAAACTATTATTGGGGATACTTAATGGTGACACAAGCCATAAAGGGGATGCCTTTTACAAAGTAAGAAGGTAAATTCCCGTTAGTGAAACCGTGAACTCCTCACAGACCAGTGAGTTTGGTGGACAGGAAGTGAAAAAAGGTTAGACTGCAAAGTAGTCCCTTTTGGGTCGGTCGAGTCCGGATTGGCACTGCAGGAGGGGGGACTGGACCTGACAGGAGGCTCTTACAACTGATTTATTAGTCTTTCGATGCATGGAATGTTTATCAATCGCCTCATGAACAAGTACGGTTTTGCAGTCAAAAAGCAGTTTTGTTTAAAATGGAAAAAAAGACCAGATTAGACCAGACTGAGGTACCAATCTGAAAAATGCGTGTGCAAAAGTAGATCATTTGAATTACCATCTTAGATTGGATTAGACGTTAATAAAATGGAAAACTGAATTTTTGATCACAAAATATGGATTTAGATTGGCCAAATGGACCGCAACCACATATAAGGGGTGGGGTTGAGTTTTGTTTTATGGAGAGCATAGTGGGTTTATACCGAGGGTACAAATAGAGAGGTATACCAATGTAATGCACATCTAATAACATGCAGCCTTGGAAGTAAAGAATTTAACCAATCAATATGTTTTTGACAACCATCAATCATCTTAGTGAACCACTCATATACTGAGGAATTGGTTCTAAAGGTTGCAGCTCTGGACTGTAAATGGTAGATTTCAATGCATTCAATTCTTGTTTCTTTTTTCCAAGGTTCTGATCATGTCATTAAAAAGTGCAGTAAGCCAGATATTCAGAGCTTGGTATCTCTGAAATATGTCTTGATTACCTGCATAGTCATATGGACTTCTCTGAGTTTTTCTAATAAAATTCCTTTGGTTGTACTTTCATCAAATGAGGCCTTGAAACGTTTATCATGGAAAGTTGAAGAATTAAATGAGCTGAAACCAAAATCCTGAAAACATAGTGAATTATCTGATCTATCTTCACCCAAAGCAGAATATCCCGTCATTCCACTACTTGATACCACACCACTTTCTACAGAATCTTTAAGATACAATTTAGATGACCATTCACTGTCTTTTAGGTTAATGTCACCAGTCTTTTGGTTTCCTGGTCCTTGTCCTCTTCTTGAAGACGAGGCCATGTCACTTGAATTTGGTAACAAACTCACCGATGAGCCAATAGGAGCCCTTTTTAGCATTCTTTTCTCTACCCTTCTGCTGTACTCAGAAAAAATCTTGTTAACTGGTCTAAAAGAAAACAATGGGCATAAGATAAAAACAAAAATAATTATAATTATAATTAGTAATAATAATCATTTATATTTTCAATAATACTTTAAAAAATACACAATAAAATAATTTCAACAGTTATTCTCATATTAAAAAAATAATGATGATGATGATAATACTAATAACAATTTGACATTATTTAAAAATATTTTTGAATTATTTGTTTCATTTTCTCATCAGTGCAGTTGAGAAATATGTACAATAATAATAAGAAAAACAAGAAATTGAAAATGAGTGATAAAGAAGAAAAGTCCATGAGAATGATCAAACTATTAATATTTTGAACTTTCTGCCTTTTAAGTCGTTTCGGAGCACCCCATTTCCCCGGGGGGGGGGGTACTTTAGAAATTTCTGGGTGGGGATGTGCCGCTGGTACCCTGGAACCCTTAACCTATACTAGAGCTAGTTCAGCTGAATTTTGCCACCCTATACTAGAGTAAACTCCCCAAATCCCCCCTATCCTAGAGTAGCTGTTTTCCATAAACTACTGAGGTCACTAGCATAGTCTAGCCAAAACAAGCTGAGTTGTGTAAATTTCAAATTTCAAATTTGATTTTTTTATATGTTTGAGTGGCAATTCCCCGTTTCCCCACTCCAGATAAAATCTTCAACCAACTGATCAGTTTCCTGAAAAATGATACCCTATTCTAGACCCAAACACTCTGATTTATATACCCTATCCCAGAGTAAACTGCTTGAAAACCATACCCTTCACAGCGGCACATACCTATATAGCCCATATTTACCCCCCCCCCCCGGCCCATTTCCTTGAGAACTTTGGAACTCTTTGTAATGTGTTTAAAGATTGCCCTCACACATCTTTCGATATCACTTTTCATAGGGTGCGCTACAAAAAAACGGGGCTCACTTGGGATAAAAATCTGATACCTGTAACTCATAATTCCCCTGTTATAACAATATAGCCTGTTTCAGTGCAAAACCCTTGGATGGATGCATTGATCAATGCATAATCCCCTCCTCCTCTTTCCCTTTTCTCTCTTCACCCATTTAACTAGCCTTCAGATAAAACAGAGATAATATTGTGTTTCATTTAAGTGTAATAACTAATGATACATATTAACAATATTAAGGTTTTTGTGAGATCCAGAATAATCAAGGCTGAGACCATGTTTTGGAATACAGATTGACAAATTGCTCATGGAAATCATGCATAGTCCATGCAACTTACGGATTAGCAAACAACCATGTAATCTGTAGGTTGCACTGATTTCCATAATTAACTGAAGGCTCTTTAATAACAAGACAGAAAGTGCATGAGTGCAAATGTGTAAAAGGGTTGTGTAAAATTTGAGGTAGCCTGACATGCCTCAACTGCGGGCCAGTATTGAATACTCTTGTAATTTAGTTGTAAATTCAAATATTAAACTTGGAAAGTTGAAGTTGAGGCAGATTTTCAAGCTCTCAGACGTTGACAGCCCTACAAATAATTATTGTGGACTTGGTACTCCTCTGACCCCCGTCTCCATGGCTTTTTTTTTCGTATAATTATTTTTGGCTTTTATGCCATCCTTCAGTAAGGCAATCGCCATTGATTCCTGCAAGTCTAAAAGTTGGTGGTTTTACCTCGAAAATGTAACTTACTTCCACATTATTGGCACTGTTTTTAATCACTTACTTCTATAACGAGCCTTTGTTTACAAACACTTACAAACGGCGTCTTTTAAAATGACACATATGAAGTGTACACTTGTGTAGATGAGAATCTGCTTTCCGGGACACTGCTTCTCCCTAAAAATAGCCCATCGGAGTTCATTTATTCGTCTTAATCGTAGATTTGTTTCAAGAGGTCCATTGTTTTCGAATTTTCTCGTGTCGATCAATATGATTATGCTGTCCGCAGTCTCCGGTGATCATGCTGAACAGCTCGCAGAACGACTGTGGATTGAACGTTTCTAGTTTTGTCTTTTAAACATTACTACTTGCAGCATCGAAGTAAAGGGCAAAGGCAACGGTTTATCCACTGCAGGGGATTAATTATTCTTCGAGTTTTTGCTAAGCATGATTTGGACCTGCCTGCCAGACGCTCGACCGACATTAGCATTACAGGCAGCCCACCGTTTTGTAAAGTTGGAGACCTGGGTGGAGACTGTTTTCATTAGCAAAAATAAAAGATTAAATTTAAAAAAAATGATAATAAAAAACATCTCCAGATATCTAGCATCGTAACGTTTCGTTAACCTTATGGCAATAAATAAATGCACTATTTTCCTTTTATACAACGGTTACACTCTAACAAGTGTTGGTGAGCTGTGCAACTTCACTCCGACAGTGAAATCCCCTCCCCACCGGTGCTGGTGCGCATAATGACTTTCTCAAGTTCCAAGTTATCAAACGAGCAGTTTGAAAGCAGAAAGGACGGCAAATATGCGCGTTATTTTCCACAATTCATTCAAGTTTTAATGCAGTGTATTTTTATATTTATGAACAATAAGTTAACGTTTCTCTTCATTGAAGAATCGTTGTTTTCAAAATGACCTTTTTATCACCTGTTTTATCCTTGCCACCCGACGAAAAATCACCGCTGCAAACGACATCAACCCTTGGCCGAAAGACATCAACTTAAACTGCAGACGGTTTGCTCGTTTAGTTCGATCGCCATGCCCTCATCGTTACGCATAAGCGAGGAACAGATCAACCATCTGGCTTCAATGGCAAGGCACGAACACTCCAAAAGCGGTCGTGTTTTTCTTAAAAACCACGAAAACACTGGGAAATGGCTACCGCGCTGGTGTGCACTGTACCAAAATTTTTTGTTCTACTTTGAGAGTGAGGATTCCGTAAAGCCTTTGGGAACCATTTACCTGGAACATTCTAGTTGCGAGAGACTATGCCTGACTAACTTAAAGGATAGTGAAAATCAGGTTTGACCGTATTCACTTTGTTCAATATTTCCCAGTCTTATATTGAAAGATTTTATTTTACTTATTATTCTTTTGTTTTCTACTTAGGAAAGGTCTTCCTTTTATCTTTCCAGCCGAGGTATTTTTTCTTGTAGATCGATCGGCACAGAGTTTTTTTTCCAATATTTAATCTCAAATGAAAAGAGCAAAGAATAACATAGTCTTTTATTGGGAAGGTGCATAATAAATTCGGTTTCGCTCCACCTTGCAGGCCTGGAGTTTGTTTTTACTTCTTAAGCTTATTCATTTTTAATCATTGATTCTCAAGACACTGACATGCTTCTTGCTGCAGAATTTTTTTTTTTTGCAAGCTTAACCTTCTTGTTTATAGATGTAAAGCTTAAGTAATTTTATAATGTTAAAGGAAATGTGAAATTCAAGTGCTATGCGGGCGATATGGTGTGCATTTTTAGCTCGTTGGCTAAATTTGTCAGCAATGTTCAAAATTAAGCATGTTCGGAATCAATTAATAACAGTTCCTGCTGTTCATCAAAACGCATTTGATTTTTATGAAATATCACCTTTCTAGCTTGCCTGTGTTTAGCATATTTTTTAATGTACAAGACACCTTCAGTTTTTCTTCAAATTTATAATGTTGAGTTCGATGTTATTGACTCTGAAACGAGGCCAAGAGAAAATGTATGACGAGCTGTTGTTTTTTTGTTCATACACTACCTCAAAGAAATAAGTCGGAAAATACGGCGATTTTTATGGTTTAGATGTAGAGCGGTTCTTTCATTGTTTGGTCACTGGCCAGTTCAAAATTTTACATCAGAAAATATAAAATAATGATATTATTACTACTTAGCTGAAAAAAGTACAGGGCTGGATAGTCTGCATGAACTTCACTTTACCCCAATTCCATCATGTATAAGAAAGTGAAAATAAAAGAAAACAAAACAAAACAAACCACCAAAATTATTACATTTAACCATTCAGCCAAAAATGTTGGGAATAAAATCAGTTGGAAGAGAAGATTCCAAATATTTCAGAATTTGTGACTACCAGTTTAAAATTGTGTTTTGTTTTTTGGAAATTGTCGAAAATCTATCAATAGCAATTAGAGTGATTTTACTTGAAACATGAAACAGATACTAACAAATAGTGCCTTTAAATAGCAAAGAGGTAAACAAAAGAATACAATGGAATTAGTGCATAATAGTGCATAGTATTCTACTACCTATTTCATGGGTCAAGTAAATTCACTCCATTCCACTTGCAACAAAATGATTATGGCCAACTCAGCACTATGTGTCACATTAGCTATTTGTAGCATCTCATATCCAATGTGTGGTCCTGGAATATGTAGCAATTATTGAATTTGGCTTTCATATCATCTGAAGAATATATATGGAGATGGCGGAGGGTGTGGCCTCAACGGATAACACCCTTTAAGATCTCCATAATTCTTGAGATGATACGAAAGCCGAATTTAATAACTGAGTTATTCTGCGTTCGAAGTAATTCCTAGTTTTTAAAAAACGACAAAACATGCTTGCCTCCATCGATGTTAAGTTCATCTTCAATAGTGCATGTTTATCGGTAAGTTTAGGAGATAAAAGGGTTTTCAGTTCTGCAAATATTCCTCCAAATAGCAGATATTGTCTATTGAGTTGTCTTCTTGCTGCTCTTGCTATGTTTTTAGCCAACAGTTTGCCTATTGTTGCGCCATTTTGTATTCACTACCAAGTCAACTCTTGAAACCCCTTCCCCAGGTCCTCTCGGGTTAACCGTTCAATAATCTGGCTAGTTTGCTGCACAAGTGACATCATCAGTGAAAGTATTGCAAAAGTCTTCCAAAGTTGGTTGACAGTAGCTGGTTATGATGAATTATGCATGGGATTTTAGCCAATCAGAAACGGAGGAATATTTTGAATGAATAATAATGTTAAATATTAACACTGGAACCCCGTTAATACGACCACTTTTGGGCCATGGAAATTTGGTTGTATTAACAGGGTGGTCGTATTAACGGGGTGGTCGTAAGACGGGGTTCCACTGTAGAAGTGACGTCAAAATTAAAGTTGTCAAAAGTCAAGACAGGAACCATGCAAAATACTATATTTAATACTACGTTGCTTCAAAATTGAGTGGATCCAGGCTTTCCCTTTAAAGGACTACTCAGTCGTGCTGATTTTTTTTTGTCAATCTCAGAACTGCTTTTCTATTGATGTACCAACTGTGGATGGACATCAACAACTTATTCTAAGAACAAACAGTGAAGTTGACTGTAAAACATGGATTGAAGCTATCACAAAATGCAGGTACCGATGTCTATCGCTGTTAAAGCAATCTTAATCATTGTACAGGATTGTTGAAACAACATTTTCTTGTGAACTGAGGACTAAAGTGCACCAAGGGTGGATTAAAATAATAGGGCCCCCCTTTTGTCCCGGAATTTTTTCTTTTGTAAATGTGTGTCAGATGGTACTTCAGCTTTGTTACTTAAATGTATTTTCTTTAACAGACATTGTTAATAAGAAAAGAATCCATGTTCAAAGCCAAAATTTTTAGCCGTAAATGACCAAAGCTCCCAGAATGTAAGCAGTAAATATTCTTTTCAAACAAACTGGATTTGACAATTTTTCAGTGAGACAATGTTGCCGCTTTTGCCAGGAGGTTTTACTCTCGCTGCAATCGCTTTGGCCCCAGCTAGCATCATAAAGCCGACAGCTACTTGCCAAACTCCCCGACTTCAAAATATCTCTTCTAGGAAAAGATCTCGCTCTTACATCTTTGGCCAAAGATCTTGGGGTTGTTTTAGATCCGCAACTAACGTTTGATGACCATGTTCTAAAAACTACGTCATCTTGTATGTCAAGCCTCGCACAAATCAGTCGGGTTAAACATGTTATTGACCGTAACCAACTGGTGACAGTAATAAATGCACTAGTCTTTAGCAAATTACTGTACTGTTCCGCAGTGTGGTCGAACACCTCGAACAAAAATATCTGTAGACTACAGTCAGTGCGGAACTTTGCCGCGCACATTACTACAGGTACCAGGAAATTTGATCATGTAACCCTCACACTAAGAGATCTACGTTGGTTTCCAATTAAACAAAAGCTGTTCTTCCGCGACACTCTCATGGCATTTCAATGCATGACTGGTCAAGCTCCACATTACCTCAGCGATCAATTTACAACAAGAATTGCGGTCACCGGGCACGTGACTCGAAGTTGCCAATTACTAAACATCCCCTTGTATAAGTCGAGTACCGGGCAGAGAACATTCCACTACCGCATGGTGCACATTTGGAACAATCTAGACAGTACTCTTAAAACTGCAAAATCGATTTCTACTTTTAAATATTGTATAGTACGTAGTGAGAATATTTATTATACGATTAATTCTTAAATAGGTATGTTTATATTGCTTTGTTCACCGCATTTTTTCTTTTTAATCGAATTGTTAACTACTTCTCTTATCTTAATTAGTTGTTTTTGTTTTTTTTTTTAGTCGCATTGTCACTGAAAAGCCCCTCCAGGGGAGTGTCAATAAACTATTGTATTGTATTGTATAAAGTGTTAATTCCACACCTGTGGTTTATTGAATATTTCAGCATTACATGTTCAATACGGAATCCAGACATTTGCTAAATTTAAGCATCTACAATGCACTAATTTGCATCCCAGAGAACTTCAGTCTCAAAAATTTTCCTGGAGGGGCATGCATCCGAAACTCCCCAGAAAAGTGCGCCATTCACAGTCCTCATGGGCGCTATTGTGCCCATATTGCCACTGTATACTATATCTCTAGGCTACCTCTATCACAAAATCCTCTGTCTGCCCCTGTGCACAAATTCCTCACTTCACAACTGTCTTTACTCAGTGTCATACAAACACATCTCTTGGCCAATCAAAGCAAGTGTTAAATGGGGGATCATAAATAGGGTTTCAACCAGGAATGATCTGGCTGGTTCTTGTTTTCTGCAAGTTTGTGAGATAGCCAAATTAGATAGCCATGGATCAAGTGCTTTCACGTCCATAGGGGAACATGTAATGTCACGCCCATTAATTGCTATACAAACATGTAATCTAACTTTATTTTCTTGTTGTTTGTGATGTATATGTTGCAGTTAATTTTTTATTTAGGCAATTTTTGTTTTTCTTTTATTTTTGGGTATGCTAATGAAGTTGAAACAAAAGAAAAAGAAAAATTTCTGACTTGAGATAAAAAACTAACTACAACATATACATAATTTATATCAAAATGCCTCTTTTGTAAGTAAAGTGTACAATAATTAATCAGATAGAATACAGGATTGGTCAAGTTTGTAATAATTATTAAGAAAGTAATAAATTATTAGTAGTGGTAAAAAAAGTAAACAAAAAACAATGGATGGAATCTCACTTATTGTACAAATTATTAACAAACTAATCTCTGAAAGCTGTGATCTCTTGTTTAGCTTTGCTGAGTTGCAATCAGAGAAGGAGGAACTGGAAAAAAAGTACATCCATTATATACAAATTCTGGAGAGTGAGAAGACTGCTAAATGGCAGTTGCTTCAGCAGTGTGAGGAACAGGGACAATTAGTATCAAGCCTGAAAACTGAGGCACGTTAAGTAGATGATATCATTCATACCCCGCTAAATGACAGCATAGACAGCATACATTGAGTTACAATTCAATCAGAACTCAAATGTTTTTCAATTAATTAACTGTTTGACCTGTAAGAACTAATTGACACCAGAACCCTGTTTTGATTAACAAACAATTTATGCCTCATGGTGGCCACTGTCAGTTGTGACTTTTTACTATTGGATTAACTCCTCACAAGACCAAGTCACAATAAACAACAACAGTCCTATTCAAGACTATGTTCATCCGGATGATCGTACTCAACCTACTCAAGACAAACTTGTGGCTGTTTGACCAGTCAAGAAAATAATACTGAACTTTGAACTTTGACAGCAGGAGTATTATTTTATAGATAAAATTGTCCAGTTACAGTGTAAAAATAATAGAAGTTTTACCAACATGTTTCTTGCTCACAGCTTGCAAGTCTCCAAAAAGAGAATGCGGCACAGACAAGGGAAGAGGAGAATGAAGAAATAAAGAACATCAAAAAGGTACTTAAAATGATTGTTGGCCGTGTGTCTGGTGGAGCTGTTGTGGGTCATATTTTAAATTTTACTTTTCCTCTGCTTTGTTGGAAAAATCATACCATAATATATTTATAGGTCAGACTTTGAAAAGATATTCTAACAGAGATATTCTAATAAAGGATCTGATAAATTTAACAGTAGTCTAAAAACTAAATTGCTGATGTTTGATGATAACCAAATGACTTCTTAACAGGTACAGAGTCTGATTCGTGGTTGGCTTTGTCGTCGTCGCTGGCACAGTATAGTACAAAATTACATTCGTTCTCCTCATGCAGAGAGCATGCGTCAACGCAACTCACTTTGCTTTCAGCTGGTGGAAACTGAGAATGAATATGTACAAAACCTCTCTACACTTGTGTCCTGTTTCTTCAGGCCTTTTAAAATGGCTGCTAGCTCCAAGAGGCCTCCATTAAGTCATGAAGAAGTAAATTGTATTTTCCTTAATAGGTATTGTATTAAACTTAAATTCATTAAAAATAACTAATAACTCAATTTTCAACGCTAATTAAAAAAAAGGCTAAAATGGTTATTGTCGTGAAAGCAGAGTATGTCAATATAGTGCTGTAAAATAAATAAGTGTTATTAATAACAAAGCGTGAGTAAGTTAACAGTAAATAGGACAAAAGGTATCCGTCAACTGATCGGAGACAAAACTAATTGTTGAATTACTAAATTTACCACAGTTCTATGTAATGCCTTACCGTACATACTCCTACAGAAAACTCATGAAATTAACGCTTTAAAAAGATCCTAAAAGTTTTGATTATAAAAGGTTCTTAAAATTGATTAACCCATGTTAATACACTTTGAAGAAGAAATTGGTGTTCCCTTGCAACCATGGCGTAAATGTAATTTGTTAGAAGTAAACATATTAAACGACATTCATCGTAATTCCCATCATAAGAACATTTAAGACTATCCTAGTTTTCTTTAGTCATCCTGACATTCATAAAACGTAACCTTTGAGCAAATTTTCACCCTTGGATTTTAAACGGCAACTGTGGCGCCACAGAGCAAGTTTTAAAAAGCAATCTTAGCAATTTACGTTGTTCAGTTTATCACCGATACGATTATTGCAATCTATGTGTGTTTAATCTTATTGCAGTGAAACAATACTTTTTTTGCATCAAATTTTTCTGAAAGGACTTCACACACGTATGGAAAGCTGGCCAACATTGGTTTTAGGTGAGTTTTGTAGTCTACTCCAAACGGTAGGCTGTTCCTTGTTGTTTGTAGCAAAAGTTTGTACACCATGTTCATGTAAGTGCATCATCTAAAGCTGTGATAAAAGAGGCCATTCGGTTGGTTGACCAAGTACAAGAACAAGTACATTTTATTTTATTATTGCCTTTTAAATACGGAGAAGAAAGGGGTGGTACTCTCCTCCTTGACTACTATAGCGATTTAGGCGTCGTCAGATATCTTAACCCTTCTTATTAAACACTTCATCAACTACCTTCATGTTACACAAGGAAAGGGTGGGAAGTAACTTTAAGCTCTTAGCACAGGGCAGAATTGAGCCGTCTCACAGTCAGCATTAGTATATTCGCCAAAACGTATTAAGGTAGCTGTCTCTGGTGCGTAAATAACAGGCTGATTGACGTGCTTATTTTGACTCCCTGAACACAGGAGACTTGTTTGATATGCTGTTGCCAATGCTGAGCATTTATCAGGAGTATGTACGTAACCATCATTACTCTCTGCAGGTCAGTGTACGTTATGACTCAGTTACTTATGATGGTTCAAATGTTAGTTCAGTACTTATCGTTGGTCAACACTGTCATTTTTATTTGATAAACAGGTTACTGTGTTCAATGATAAGGTTCCCAATATTACCTTAAAGTGTTTATAACTAATACAAAACATTTAAAGTACTAAAACGTATTCGTCGTGTTTTAATAACAGTTTTTCTGTCTTTTAAGAAAATTTACGTCAAGCGTTAGACCACCTTTTCGAACCTTTTGTTGGTTTAATCCTATGAACTACAGCACGAATAGCTTGGCGTGAACGGGATTTTATTGTGTATTGCTTCATGAAGTGGCTGCAATATTTTTTATTTGTTTTTTTTATGTCGGCAGACGTTAGCGGAGTGTAAGCAACGCCCTGCTTTCAACCGACTACTGAAGTTGTATGAAGAGAAACCAGTTTGCAGTGGGAGGAGGTTGGAGAACTACCTAACAGCTCCAATGCACAGGGTTAGTCCGTCACTGAGGCCGTACAAACACCGCGGTAAAACCATGCACCTCATCCTCCACAGGATATTAAGCTCAGCCATTTTCAATTTGTTTCCCCCGTACGGAAGGAACAGTTATACCACTGAAGACAAGTCACTTAGTCGTTCGGTTGCGTTATTCGATTTGGAAATGCTAGATTAATCATTGTTTTTCAAATAGAAGATGACCTCAATTGTTACTGCAGTAAAAACCCGCGCATAAGAACCTAAAATTTAAGAACCGGTTAGGCTAAAATTTTCATTTTAAACTCCCTTTTCATAAGAACCTATTTAGCCTAAAATTTTCAATAGGTTCTTATTTTAGAAAAAAATTCTAGTCTAGGTTTCAGTCTGGAAGATTCAGAGAATGAACTAAAATGAAAATGTTTTAAGTTTTAAAATTTTATGGACACTGCAGCATGAAACACATACATGCTAGTACTTTGGAAAGATAGATTTACTGTATGGCTATCATCATCTAAACTGTTTTGTAGATAATTATTTAATAAAGCAATATACTCCATATTACGCAAATATGCCCTGTAGTAGTTATCTTTGCTGATCACTAGTGCCCCTATCAAATTAAGAACATATTTAAGAACCTAAGTAGTCTAAAATCCCACTAAATACCATTTCTATAAGAACCTATTTAGGCTAAGTTGGAAAAATGTAGGTTCTTATACGCGGGTTTTTACTGTATTAGTGTCGTAATAAATAGGAGTCGAATAATCTGGGCATATGTATTGACACTTTCTTTCACCGGTCACAACGGAACAATGATGACTGCTTCTTTTTTAAATAATTATATACTAATCAATTACCTCAAACCAAATGCAATATATCTTAAGGGCGCGCAAGTCTGTTGTAGAGGCTAATTTTCATTTCCACGTACCACCATCAACTCGATCATCCCGGCATTCCCCGGCGGGCTCTGTAAACGCGTTGTGATTATGTCTGCGGCACTGATGCCAGTTAGTTTCCGCCATGTGCTTACTCAAACGCAGTTGCTAACGCCAACTTGTCATTTCCTATTTACTTCTTATTCGTCGTCAAGATTTCAGGCCTTTTCGCCCCGCGCTGGTCGTAGTGCACGTAGTTATCATTTCAGAAGACAGTTTAATGAGCGGGCCAGGTTATTTTGGTTACAGAAAACTGTGCTTTTTCAGGTAATGCCTCAAACATAAACAGGCCAACAACTTTTTAACTTGACATCGGTCTGCACCAGCTAAAAGTTCTTTAATTCTAGCGAGTTTTTTTGGCAAGCGAAGTCTTTTGAAATTGTATTTGCACCTTTAAGAAGTGCTTGGTAACGTTTGTCATCACTTCTTGCGAATAATTAATAGAGTATAAACCTCTACAATCTCTGATTAAGTCAGATTTAGGGAATAAGTCTGGTCGGGTATAACACTGATCACTGATTTTCCGCTTTCGTAGGATGCCTTTTCGTCGCAGCTATAATTTTTTCTTCCTTTTTCTACTGTGTTTGAAGTTGTGCGCATCGTTCTAAAATCAAGTGGCTGCTTTCAGCAAGTTGAACAAACATATCAGCAGCAGGCTTTTAGACGTGTATTTCCGCGTTTTGTCAGGTTTTGTTCGTGTTAAATATTCTTTGTTGACTTATTGAAGGATATATGTGTTAATGATGCAGCAGGCGATTATATTGTTTGCCGTTCAGGTCTTGGTTCTTACTCTGATTTCTATGGAGTCGGTGATGGTCATCTGAGTAGTAACCGATCGTGTTTTTACGTTTGATGTGCCGCCTTACCCGAACTTCTGAGTAACGACAGGTGCTGGGTTTTTTGTTCTGACTCATAAATATTGTATTTTTGTACTTTTACCTTTTTAATTTATGCGTAATCAACTTGCACAATCAAGCCAAAGTAATGCGAACGACATTTACAATTTTTTTGCTGTGTCTCAGAGGTTGCTGTTTTCCATATCCAGTTTTCAATTACTGCAGATTGATCGCTTGTATATAACGCGCTAGTTGTTTTCGTGCATTGAGCAATGCCCTTCGTCCTTCTAATGAGCATCCAAATAAGAGCACATTTTTTCTCTCGGTCTTTTTTCGCACGGCTATTAGTATTTCAAGCTTTAAGCTTTTCATTGCACTTGCAAAACTAAAAGCCTGCCTTCAAAAGGATCAAGTCTATTATGATTTTTGGACGATTAATGGAGGTGATGAAGGAAGATTGAGACAGTGTACTGCAGAGTATAGAGAGTCTCAGTCTTAGGTTGGCTTTTTTGTTTTTTTCAATGTTCATGGCGCTCTGTGTGCCTACTTTTATTTATTGTTTAAAATCTATTGCCAAACTAGCACAGAGCTTCAATCATTTTGACGTGAATTAAAAACTGTTCAGTTGGCGAGTATGGAAATTACCGGTTAGACTGTGTTAGTTAAATTTCAAGCGTAAGCCCAGATGGATATTATGTTCGTATATTGTACTTTATTACGTTTTCAATAAGAACTACACTTGGATAATGAGTGCATTTTTAAACCTTGTTAGTTGCTATTACAGACAACGCATGAAATGTGATTTACTTCAGATACGCTGTTTAAAAGCTGACTGCTCTTAGCGACCGCGCGACAGCGTCTTTTAATATTTAGCGATGTCGTTCAGTTGACAAAGAATTATGGCTTCTCTGCAGCGATATTAGGATTTATCACAAGTCCCGTAAGTACAGGGTTATTGTGTTGCCGCTTCCGCTTATTCTCCTCATTACCGTATGTAGACTTGTTTTGGTTTCACTCGCCTTTTTCTCTTAAATCGTCTTTAAAAAACGTCCGTTTCTGGGATAGGTCGTCTATTCAATCCCTCTTACCAACATACGTTTACTTTTGAACTCCTTGTCTAACCATCTATTTTATTATTATTATTTTTTTTCGTCTCGGCGTGCGGCCGAAAATGTACGGCTTTCATCTACAATTTCCACCTTATGTGAGTAAAAAACCTCATGTACCCAAGGTATTACGAAGCGGCGGGGAAGGGGGCGGGGGGGGAGGTGACTTTGCTGCCGCAGAAGGCTGGATCCGGCTCCCGTTCAAAGATTAACATGGACTTTGAGTCAAGCGCCTTTTCACCGCATTTTATTTGGTGTTTACCCCTTTCGCCTGATTTTAGTACTGAACAAAAGCGACAAATTCTTTCTAACTATCGTTATTTGGACGATTAGCATTCACTTAAACGCTTTGACCTGTACTTGTTTAGACTTTGCGTACTTTCCAGAGTGATGCGACTAGCATCAGGCGAAATATCCTGACTGTGAACATAAAAAAAACCAGAGGGCTTTGCTGGCTTTGTAAAATTTTACATGTTTCCGTGATCAGTATAGCCGATTACACTTAAGTAGAATTTTTGTATTTTCATTCCAGATCCCTGCATACATCATCACCTTGCATGACCTACTCGCTCTTACTCCACATGATCACGTGGAAAGAAACGCGTTGGAATATGCACAGAGTGTTCTCGAGCAACTTTCTACGGTGAGGTTAGCCCGTCTAGGGCCTCAGATGATATCAGCTATGTTCATAAACAGGCTGATTTTCTTGCACTGCATTAAACAAGCAAAGGTTTTCTTCATAAAGAGCGTTTCGTCTAGTTTGCCACACCTCGCTACTCACCGACTTCTCTATTAAAAACATGAGACAGCTCCTGTTGCGGTTGAGATATACTTCTCTTGTTAAAGTCCGGACAAGGTCATTATTATGTTTGACCTTTCAGACAAAATTGTATCAAACGCGACCGGCCGAAGGCGTCGTCGTCTGATCACAGGTAAACTATTCTACCGCCCACTGCAACTACACTGCGCATGTGCGTGAAGTTTGTTTTTAACTCAGACATGCGATTGTTTAGGAATGCTTTTTAAAGGTAGACACAATGCTACAGACTTTTCAGCAAGTGACTTGTTTTGCCTCTTTCCTATGAATTGTGAATGCAAAGGTACCAGATGGGGCATGAACGAAGCTTTAATATGTGCAGTCCGCTTTATCTCACCCGCTTTTTTGTTGCTGTCTGCAGGTTATGCATGACGAGGTCAGCGAGACTGAAAACATTCGTAAAAATCTGTCCATTGAGAGGCAGATAGCGGAAGGCTGCGAAATATTACTTGATGTCAACCAAATCTTTATCAGACAAGGTTCATTAGTTTGCATTTGCTTTTTAACAATTGCTCAGTATTTGTATATATAATAGGACATGCAAAGTATTTTTTCAATTCAACTATTTCCAAATTGGACAAGCATGTAGTCCTCTTACTTATTAATTATATACTTAGCTGGTTAGTTAATCCAGATTTTTTAGCGTGTCACAGACGCGTAATAGTGTACACTCGAACCGTTTGTAGTTGAAAGAAAATCACACTGCAAAATCTAAAAAAGTGTCAACTTATTCTGTACAAGTAGACAAACGTAGAACTAGTATTGCTCTTTCATACTTTGGCATTTTGTAGTCAAGTATAAATTTTAAAAAGCTGCATATGAAAACCGCAATTTCGAGTACAAAGAAAACAAAGCAACAATGCAAATACTTAATTTAAACTCGTAAACTATGAAAGTAAGCATTTCATTCATTACCTCAAACGATTTCCGCAGACTTTTCGCGGCCTCATGTGAGGGAATCCAAGACAGTCTTGGATTCTGGGTTCCACGCCGTGGATTCCAGATTCCAGGTACTTGATTTCAGTCTTTTTTAGTGGAACTTGGATTCTGGATTCCAATCTTTAGTAGGATTCTGGATTCCTTGAGCTGTATTCTGGATTCCTTGAGCTGTATTCTGGATTCCTTCAGCTGTATTCCGGATTCCTTCAGCTGTATTCCTGATTACTTCAGCTGTATTCCGGATTCCTCGAGCTGTATTCCTGATTCCTTGAGCCGTATTCCGGATTCCCTGAGCTGTATTCCGGATTCTTTGAGCAGTATTCCGGATTCCCTGAGCTGTATTCTGGATTCCCTGAGCAGTATTCCGGATTCCTTGAGCTGTATTCTGGATTCCTTGGGCTTTATTCCGGATTCCTTGAGCTGTATTCCAGATTCCTTAAGCTGTATCCCGGATTCCCTGAGGTGTATTCCGGATTCCTTGATCTGTATTCCTGATTCTTTGAGCTGTATTCCGGATTCCTTAAGCTGTATTCCTGATTACTTGAGCTGTATTCTGGATTCCTTGAGCTTTATTCCGGATTCCTTGAACTGTATTCCGGATTTCAAAGCCCAGGATTCCGGAATTCGGATTCCCTTACATGGAGCGAGACTTTGTCCTTTTGTTTGGTAATGATTACTTAATCTAATCAGAACTAACTAGCAGTGTTTTCTTAATCTTGTCCAAAGTTTCAGTGCTCGTACATTTTCAAGAGTCGTTGATTGTTTCCAATTCAAACTTTCATCCGTTTGGTCATACATTTTTGTTTTAAATGGCCCAGACAAGAAGCCAAAACAAAACAGCAGCAAAACAAAGCAACAATTTTAGTCAAGCCAAAAAGGAGCCAAGAGTGTTCGAGAAGGAACCGCCGCCCGTCAACGAGACTGTTTTTGCGCGTTGTCACAGGGACTTTGCGCTAATTGGCTAGTTTGCATTGCCAATTGTATTTTATGGCATTTGATCGGCTCAGACCATCTGTCCTATTTTTCGTAAATTGGTCAGTTTGCCTTTTTGTAAATGAAAGTCGTATCTGAAACTATCCAAATAAATCCTTAATTGGACATTTTGTAAAAATTAAAGGATGATAGCTTTGCTGACAATATCTGGTTAACTGACAGATATATCACGTGTACGGTTCTATTATTGATACTGCTGGTCAGTGTTATTTATTGGCCACCAATGGGGTCTTGCCTTAGTCTTAAAATGTAAATCACACTAGACGACTTAGGATCAAGGCCACAGGATTTACAAGACTTATCTTGTCAAGCTATGTGGTTGTAGTGTACTGTAGCAATAAAACGACACCGCACTGGCCAAAACATACGAGTTCCCCAGGTCAAATTTTCCTCTTGAAAGACGCCACTTCTTTCTAGCAGCCTTGTGATTAATAATGCTTCTGGCTTCACGCCCTTTGTTATATATCTTTCATAACGAAATTTGTTTCTTCCGGACATTTTTCCTGATTAACACTTTCTTATTCAACTTTGATGATTTGCCTCTCGTGCCATTATCCTGCTAAATATTCTATTTTTTTCACATCGTGCAAACCAAAATCTAGCCAAGTTACGTAAACCTTGTACACGTAGAGTTGGGATTTTAGTAACTCTTATTCCACTGTATTTCATTTCTGGTTCTTGTGTAAGATCAGTGTTGCTGAGTTTTATCTTTTTTTGTCATTTTAGGAAATTTGATTCAGGTTATAGAAAGTCGTAAAGGTAAAACATTCGGTGGTTTGTCGCTTAAGTCAGCTGACGGACGAAAGGAAGTTGTGCACCAGTGCTTTCTATTTTCGGGCTATCTTCTACTTACTACGAGATCATCAAGCGGCCGACTACACCTTTCTAAGGTAAAGACTTTTTACTAAGGTATTTGTCTGGTCTTGTACTGAACATGTGTCATAGTACCTCAGTCTTTATCAATGTGCCGCATTTATTCTGACTGTACAGACCTTGTCACTGTCAAATAACGATTTGTTATTCTTTGTCTTTCTCAGAATGGTGCGAAAATTCCCTTGGCTGACAGCACGTTAATTGAGGATTGCTTTCAAGAGGGTAAATAATTTCCTTTTTAGTTATAAATACGAGGCATCCTTTGGGATCCAGATACACAATTTCTTTGGTTGAAATTGCAACGTGTTAGATTCGTCCAAGCCCAATAATGAAAGGTGTGGTAAGCCCGGCGAGGCCTTGTGGGGTTCTATATTCAGTAACTGGCGACTGAGCTACATCAGTCAGGTTTCCACAATAATTTAGTTTATAAAGTTGCTCTTTTTTAAAGGAAACGATTGAAGCAGTTCGTTTGTCTACAGAAATAATCTGCTGACCTAATTCCGTTGAGTAACTTACTACTTGCGAACTTTTTATTTGACAGTGGACGCCGAAAGCGTTCTGTATGGTTCTCGAGCGAACCAAGAAATTGACTTAGATGAACTGACGTTTAAGCTGGTGGTTAGGTCTCCCTCGTACACCGTGACGCTTATGGCGCCTTCAGTGCAGGAAAAAGCTGCTTGGACTTCAGACATTAGTCAGGTACGAATGTACAAAGGACATGAAGCAGCAGCTAACAGAAAATGTTACATCTGTACATCTTCGAACAGAAACAAGCAAAAATAGGTGAAGTGGAGTGGAGACGGCTATGTTTAGAATGGGTTACACTTGACAGTTACCAGAAAAACTGATAGACTAGTGGCCTGAAATCAGGTCGATTTTTTACACTAACGGGCACTTTGCACTTCAGGTTTGATGAAATTATACTAACGTTATTTTTAAGCATCGTTCTCCTGCAACAAATTTAGAAAACATGACCCATTCAAACTCGGATTAACTGTTAGACTGACTGACCTGCCTCAACTAGCGAAAACCTTGTTTTGTGTCTGCTATTTGTAGACCTCGGTTGAAAATTATTATTTTCGTAGGAAGGAATTAAGTATATTTCTCGGACGAAGTATTATAACCACTAATTTTTTTCTTTCAGTGTATTGAGAATCTTGCAGTAATGTCAGAAGAAGATAACGTGTCCATAGCCTCGAGGCAAAGTTTGGCGAGTGTCAGGTTAGCTATTTCCTACCAATGAACTGGACTTGTTAACCATCCCAATGACTACAGTTTCCAAACAGCTATTCGCATTGTATGTTTAAAATATGACTTTGTTTTTATAGATTTTTGGATATAATAATTATGTAAGTAACCTTGATGCAAATCAAATTTCAAATACAATTTTAATTTCCTGACGTATGACGGGATTTGGCGGAAAGATCAAAGCCTTTTACCGTTTTTAAGAATTATAGCGAAACATTTTTCGTTGCCCGCTCGATATATTTTGGAGCTATTTTTTGTATATGTATGGCATTGCTATTTTTCACTTTTGAACTATTTTTTTCCATACAGGTTTATTTCAAATTAACCAAATACTGAAGAGGACTAACTATGTACTGTTAATCTTTACAACAGATCGGATCCAAAGCTTTTTGCCGACGATGCTGATATAAAATACTGCAAGGCTCTTAATTGCTGCAAACTTCCAAAGGTGTGTATTTCAGTATGTTTAATATCTTATTCAATGTCGTCATTACAGTGAGTTGCGATTATTTTCATGGATGGTGAAGTTTACTCTACTAACTAAAGTGAGTAAGTGAGCAAAATACGTCTTTGTCGTTGTAAAATATGATTATCAGAATTTTTGCCGTTCAGCGTAAATTGCTATAGTTGAAGGTCACTTTTAATTTCCTTTAATGCTTAATACTTATACTTTATTATGTTTGTAAGAGTTTTATTCATACGCCGAAAATAACATTGGTTAACGTTGGTGGTCTGTATTTTGTAGATCAGCCCTGTTTATCAACAGGTGACACAGGTGCTATATACCCAACATGTCACTTTCCACCGCTACTCAGAATGATTTTTCTGTGGCATCAGTCGAGGAGTGTCATGGTCGGTTTTAATTCTTCTTTTTGCATTGACACTCTATTTAGATTCGTCACGCAAGTTTAGAGCGGCTATTGGAACGCCTGCTAGATATTCGTTTCCTCAGTGTGGACTTCTTAAATACTTTTCTCATCACATATCGTGTGTTCACATCAGCTACGTCGCTTCTGGACACATTATTGCAGTTTTACTACGCCAATAATGCAAACGATTATGCCTGTGTAGACCTGGTCTCCCCAACCAGTCGCAAGACTCGCTCAGTATCGCTACCCGGCACAGAGTCGCTCAATGCACAAAGAGCCCTGAAAGGTAATCATTTAATTGGCCATGTGTCTAAACGGGCAGGAACTGGTACGACAAGGATAGTTTGGAGTGACAGCAGCAAGCCACTTGTTAAAGTCCCTCTCAAGGTTACTCTGACTGAAGAAGAGATACATGGTGCATCAGGATTTTTAGGAAATTTGTAATAGTGAATATTAGGTGCATTTCTGAAACCATTCTTGCAGTTTGGAACTGAACACAGCACTTCAAGTACACCATGTTTTTTGACCTTGATTCTGTCCCTCGAAACGATCCCAAGAAACCTTGTGGCTGCCGGCATATCGTACCCATTATTCATTCGTTAGCATGGCGAATTTTACTAGCATCGTGGATTCTAAATTTGGCTCTCACGGAAGTCCGTGAAGATCGCAACTCGGTCTAGCTAAAACCTATTTTAAAAAAGAAAAAGAAAAAGAAGCATCACCAAAAAATGTGGGAATCGCTGCTTTCATTATAGACACCGTTATTACATCGTATCGTATCCATTACTCTAATTATTATTCATTCAAAATAATTCAGCGTTTCGGAATGGCTTTAGCTAATTCTTCATAACCAACTGGCGGTGACCAAATTTGGAAGATGCAGGCAATATACAATTGATACGATTGTATACTGCCAATGTATCATCAAACCCTCCTTTCCAGGCAGCGGCGCGGCAGTCTAACTGTTTTGGTGTGAATGCGAAACTCATAAACAAGTTTTCGCGGCTATCCAAAGAAAAAACGCTCGATGGATGTTATCTGCTTTTTGAAAACAAATTCTGTTAGTATTCTAAAACTGTGCCGATGTAAAACTATGCTGTGGCCGAGGTGGATAACAGCCTCCCAGATCTGCATAATTCTTCATATCATACTCAGCCTCATTCAGTAATTGTAGTCTTTTGTAGCGTTAATTTTAACACAAAGCTGGTGATTATTGTAATATGATATCTAACGTGTATCAATACTTTCTTCTATTCCTGTAGGTCGTAATAATCAGCCCTCTGCGGCTTCCCAGTCAATTAGCATCACTGTATCTGACGTAAAAATGCCTTCAGACAATGATCACAGAGAAACCGTTGCTGAGGACTCTACATCGCGCACTCCCGACCGACTATGCCCCAGTAACTACCAGTCGCACAGGCGGCATTCTTCACCCTCCGCTCTGGGCGAATCAGCAGGTTTTGAGTTTCCAGACTCCTCCACTGATACACCTCTGTCACCAGGAGACGATTCTCCCACACCTATAAGACATGCGGGGCCTAGGAACCACAGCTCACCATTCTTGTCTCGAAGCAACTTTCGTTCCCGCGCACAGAGCAGCTCATCTAATTTCGTGTCGGGAGGGTTTGATAAAGACAAATCAAACCTTTCTTTATTGCAGGACGAGGACATTTTCAACGACTTGAAATTTGAACTTCAGGCGCCACCCAAACAGCGTGGCAAGCGATCCAGGGCATCTACTTCTTCAGGTGCACTCATATTGTCAATAGACTCCAACTCAGCCTCTAACTCTTCAATCCATACTGCATGCAGTACCTCTATAGGTGAACCCAACAAAGGAACACAAATGCGAACAGCAACACCTGTTGAAAACTGTGTTGTGGATTTTCAAGCCGATGAGGTATTTCATCAGAAGCCTAAGAATCATCGGCGGCGTTCAACTTCTAATGTTCAGCGTGAGCGTAGTCCTGATCGCCTTTTTTCTGCTGGTTGCCTCGGTATCATTGGAGACAATGACTTGCAGAGCCCTGAAGACACACGCACCAAACATCCTTCAAGAAGGCCAAGTTCCCCTTGTCGGCTGTACAAAATTGTTAAAGATGCGGAAGAAAGAGTTTCATCCCTTAAATCTCAGCGCCGACCCAGCTCTCCCAAGTTGCCATCACCTGCGTCTCCTCTTAATTCACCCCGATCTCCTCTCTCGCCATCTGCCAGCAGCGTCAGTGCTGGTGTTGTAGTGACGTCCTCAAGACCTTCTCGACGCAGGTCCAGCATATCATCAGCAGCTTCAGCGTTTGCTGCTGCTACCGCTGGTGCGTCTCCGTCATACACGGCCACATCGCCCACTGCGACACGATTTCGCTTTGGTAAGTCCAGGATAACAACGCGACCGGTTTCATTTCTGTCACTCGCAATAGCTTAGGGAAACTTCCAGTTGATTGTTAGGAAAAGCTGGTTTTACGAGTTTCATGTAATGTGTGATTGAAGTTAAAAGAATGTTGAATGAATCACATGTAAGGGTCAGATAAGAAAGAAAGACTACTGAAGACACTGAAAGTGTACGGTAAGAGTGAAGAGGAAAACTGGTTCCCTTTATTCTATTCAGACTTTCCAAGATGTATTTTAATACGGTTATGCTTAATTTTGTCAAAATCTTTGTAGATATATTTCATACGGGATAATATTTCTCAATTAATTTGCAACACTGTATTTTTTCCAGCTCATACCATCCGAGAACTACTGTCTTCTAACTCGCACATGGCCACCATGAGGGTTCTGACAATTCTACGACATTGGGTCACTAAACACCCTGAAGTAAGTGTTGTCGTTATGGTGTTTGTTTAAAACTCTGCAGTTATTGACTATTTGTCTGTTTTTGTGTTCTTACCCAGGATTTTGAAGCCGACCCGGCATTAAAAGAGCAATTAATATCCACTATGAACTACATTAATAGTAATGACAGCTCTACAAATCTTGAACAAAAATTTGCAATGGCAATTATAAGGTGAGTTGCATTTCAAAATTTCTTTGTGCTTCAACTTTTTGCAAATTTATAAACCCATTCTAAGTACAGTAGTTTGTAAACTGGCAAGTGCTAACTAAATATAATACCTGGGTAGACGCCGACAGAATATAAAATCCGGGTAGACTATTTTTCATTTTCCTGTACCTCTTTCTTTTCCTACAAATTTATTAAGTGATCTTTTTACAATATTCATTAGGATACTGGAGAGAAAACAGGAGGAATTAGAGGCTGCTCTTTCTTTTGAGGCTACCTTCTTTTCAAGGGTAGGCTGGCAACACTGATAACGATTGATAGGAACATCAGAAGTGCATTAATATAATGCTGCAGTGTTAGATTAAAGCTGTAGGAATTTTCAAACTTCAGTACATCTTAAAAAAAATTAACGTTCTTTATTTTGATCAAACCAGGGAGAACCATTTTCTTCAACAAATCAATGAGCAAAGTAAGCCTCTTGATGAAGTCCGGTTCATGTTATCTCTTTCAGTCGACATTAAAGAGTGAATCAAGCTGCCTTCATGTCAAGTTGTTTTCAGTATTCGATTTAAACTATAGTAGTCAAAAGAAAGTCAGATGTTAAAGGTGGACAGAGGAGGAATGTGACTTATAAATATATTCCTTTATACTCTAGCTTGCTTAAGTTTGTAGTAGTTGAAGGAGGCTGACCGATGATTTTAATGGTAATGATAATGAAAATGATGATTGTCCAGAAACACAAGGAAGCTAAAACAATACTCATGTATTACGTGCCTCTTTTCATAGCTGCCTTTTTGTAGTTATATGCGTTTTTTTCTTTTTGCTAAAGGGTGGAAGCCCTCGAGAAGTTGCCACGTTTGAAAAAGTACCCGCTACTCAACTTGCAGAACAGCTCACATTCCTGGAGCACTTAATCTTTTCCAAGATTCCTGCACAGTAAGCAGATCATTTTGTTTTTATGGATGAGTTTAGAGGAATATTTCTTAACGTCGTACGTTCTTCTTGGGATGCGGTCTAAGCCACCTCTGCTCTCTCAGCTGCAGATGTTGTAGTTCAAGTTTACCCTTTATTTTTACCCTTTGTTTTAATTTTTTTTTTCCGCTAACCCTTAATCCGGCCCTTATAGGGACAAAATTTGAACCACAACGTAGACACTTTCCATTTTTCTTTTACAGTTTTATCAAATTCTAATGCGCGTATTGTTTCTTTACTTCAGTGAATTTCTCAACCTTTCTTGGATGAAGCCGGATAAAAATGTTCGAGCACCTAACATTCTTCGTGTGACAAAACGGTTTAATGATGTAAGTCTACGCGTGTGCACAGCACATACGCAGCTATACATACATTCAGTTCCTAACTTTCCTTTCCAGAAGCAAGGTGGCGATGGCAGATGTAGTAATGGCGACGGCAGATATCGATGTGACAGTTTTGTTGACGTCAACGACCAAAAATCGCATGGGCATTCAGAGATACGTTAGTTACCATGCTCTTAGGCAAAAAAAGGAAACATTCATAAATAATATTAGTTCCTACTTTGTGGAGAAATTTTGTCGTGCAATTATAATTGTCGAATGTAAGAAGTTGTCGGCAAACAACTCTCTAGTCTAACGAGGCTCTTTACAACGTACAACCGATATTGAGTTTGTAACGGTAGTTGACGGTAACCACTCTTTCAAGTTCAATTGACCTCATTTGTAAGGTAACTCCGTACCATATTTGAATTTTGATATTGAATTTATAACCTGGTTAAATGGTGAGACCTTAAGTTAGCGGCGTCGAGGTAAACTTGCAGATGTCTTAAGTTTAAGGCATCCTTCGAAGATGAAGAAAGTGAATCTGAATAAACTTAAGAGGAAGAGAAGTGATGACAACAGGATTGTGCCTGCTCTGTTCACAGGAATTGTTATGTGATTCTCTTTTGGTTTGTCTTTTCTTTGCAGACAAGTTCGCTTGTAGCTTCAGAGATTCTTAAGCACCAGTCCCCTTCCACACGTGCCACTGTGGTTGAGAAATGGGCTGCGGTGGCGGAGGTTTGCCGCGATCTACACAATTTTAACTCTGTTTTAGAAATCATTTCTGCTTTCATGAGCAGTTCAATCTACAGGCTCAAGAAAACTTGGGAGAAGGTTTCCAAACAGGTATACCTGACTTGAAAATCAAATCACCCTACCTACTGCCTTACTGTTATTGTCACTTCGTTTTTTCGTTGATTGTTCTACTTAAAATTTAACCAAATCTACTTCGCCAAAACCACAAATTTGTTAGGATTTCTTGTACGGGCTCTTTCCTGTAAATGTGATAAACAGTCGCCGTCACCTCTCGGTACGTCTCGACGAGTAATTTTTATTTAAACGGCTACTTTGTAGACCTGGGCGCCTTCCAGTTCACTAGATACACTTATGCATGCGGGCCTGTAACACTCTTTTACTACTTTTCTTTTGGTACAAGAAAAGTTAGAAAACCCGGCCAAATATTGGCTGGTGATGGATTAATGGCTCATTGCAGGTTTGACCCTTTCTATAATAAAAAGTGCAGGAGTTTGTTTGTAGATCTAACGAACTTCTGATGTTAGAGCAATGTTGTTTCTCGGCTCTTGATCCCACAGACGCGGACGATGATTGATAGGCTACAGAAGTTGGTTAGTTCTGAAGGTCGCTTTAAAAACATGAGGGAAGCCCTTAGATGGTAGGTTGTTATGCTTCAAGCGGCATTGTTCTCAACATATCAATATCCTTGGTTACTCCTGCTACCAGTCAAACAAAGGTTTTTTCAGCACGCCTTAATTAGTGATATTGGTTTGTATTCTACCATGGCGACATTCAGCCTCAGTTTGAAATCATTAGCAACGTCATTAGCCTCGTTAGAACAATCTTCACAAATGGACAAATAACTCGATTGACTAATGGCACAAAGAAACGTCGCCAAATTTACAGGAAAATCAATTTAGGTTGCTACCTCATGGAGCAAATATATTTTGTGCCACTTTCTAACTGGTGTGCGCTCTCTTGAGCGATTTTTAAATATATCTGGCGCTGCCTTGTTGATTACATGTTAAGTAACCCTTTTTTGTGATTATGTTGATTTTCAGTGCGGACCCACCATGTATTCCTTATCTTGGGTTTTATTTGACGGATCTAGCATTCATTGAGGATGGCACCCCAAACTTCAATGAGAATGGACTTGTTAATTTCTCCAAAATGAGAATGGTGAGATTTGATAAGTGAATTTAGAATTTATAGCCATTTAAATCCGTTACCCTAGTGCTTAAATTCACGTAATGTTTGGTTGGTTTCAGATCGCCCAAGTCATTCAAGAAATCAAGCACTACCAACAAAACAAGTACACGATAGAACATGATAAAAAAGTAAGTTTTGTTGTCTGTTCTTACCATGAATATCATGTCTTTATTCTCAGTGATAAAACCTTTGAGCGAATGACGGCGAAAAGAGCTGAAAGTGTAGTTCCCTCTGGAATTTCCGTATTTTTCAACTTGGTTGGGCACCCTCTGGAAAGAGTATTTTTGGCTCCAAAATGTTTTTGCACTATATTATTAAGCGAAAGATAATTTTTTCTGCGATAAGATGAGAAAAAAATCTTTTCATTCGTGTTAGTACGGTTCTAATAATCTAAAGGGCGTTCTTAGCTAATAATTAACCACTGAGGCGATACCTTACACTACTGGCTACACGAATAATGTCATCTGCAAAAGAACCAGTTACATTCAAACTAAACACCACGTGAACTTTTATTACTTCATTTCAGTTAGAACATGTTACAAGAGGGCTTAGAATACGACTGAATTACGGTGAATCAATGTGTAATAAAGCAACAGCTAGATAACCGAAGATTACCGTGTTGCACGAAATTTTTGCGGGTCTTAATTTTCGCGATTTTTCCAACGATCCGCAAAAATTAATTACCGCAAATATTTTTCCCGCAAAAATCTACCCCAGAGTAAATAATATCTAACTCGCTACAAAAAAAATACAGTGCTAAGAAACTGTTGTGTCTGTTCAACTACAACTTGTCTCTGACGTTCAGAAACAAAACGATTAAATGATGAGCAAAACTCCTGTCACTGGTTTTACATACAAGGGTACCCACGCCGTAGTACTAGTATTAGTATTGTTTGAAAATATGTAATTATTTATTATTTCATTGCACGTACTCAGTGAAAACGAAAATATTATCAATTCTTTGTCCGGGACTTTCTGAAAATCGCAAAAAATTAATCCCAGCAAGAAAAACCAATCTGTCCTAATCGCAAAAATTAGTTCTCGCAAAATACAAAAAATCGTCAATTCGCAAAATTAAACTCCCGCAAAAATTTCGTGCCACACGGTATTCATGAGCCGATGACAATTGTAGTAGAGAAAACTTTCGCGTAAGCCATGAAAAACGCTTTTTAACGGACCGTAGATAAAAGATGATCAATGCAAAGAACAAGACTTGTTTTGAAACACCGGTAACAGTGAAATAACTGATAGCTTGCTTAACAGAGAAGCTGTTATTGATGAATAACTCACTACTCAGACCCTCTGGAAAAAACCTCTGTAAGCAACCCCCCACCCCCTCGGAATTTACCTCCTCTTGGACCCCCTCCCCTCCAAATATACATATACATATATACATGTTTTATTTATTTGGAGTCTTATACAATAAATAGTATATCAACTATTTCCGTTGCCCTCCGTAGCCGGCGTGGGGGGCGGTGGGTATGGATATTTTCTAAAACTACACAATAAGGTAAAGTATTCTGTCATATTTCCTTTTTTTTCTTATTTCACTTTTTTTATTTATTTATTCATTTATATTTCAGATTATTCGATACTTGACGTCCAATGATAATTTGATGAGTGAAGACATGCTTTACCGAACTTCACTCGGATTGGAACCAAGAAAACGAGGATCCTCAAAAATTAAGCATCAGGACATCGGAAACTGATCAAGTCGCACTTTCTTATTGTTTTCTTGTTAATAAAGAAGTAAAAAGAAAACAAACAAACAAACAAAACAATGTAAATGGCAAATTGTGACATACGTAGCTTTCTCTCATATTTGCTGTACAGCTGTAAAAACAAATTTTCTTTCTCCAAGGTTCTAGTCCCTGGCGTGAACAACTGAACTTGTATTTAAGCTTTTGAAACAGCTGTATAAATTATATTATATCGATCATAAGTGCTGTAAAAGGAAGCCAAACGTCATTTTGTTCCTCAATGTTGGCACTAAAAAACAGATCTTTCAAGAAGACTAACAATAAAGTTTGTGTGTCCAGATTTAGTTTACAATTAACTTAGATAAAGAGTCTGTAAAGACGGTGAACTATTGGAAATACTCATTACACGGAGCAGGTTTGATGTTCCCAATCAATCCCATGTTCAGCTTGCTTCATCATTTCTCTGTTTGTGATTGCCAATAGTTTTAATTGTTTCCTTACTCTTTCTTGAAACAAAAGTTGAACGTTATCTCCTTGGCAATGATTTGGCAAACAAAGTTTCTGGGATTGAATTTTTCCCTTAGCCTGCGTGGCAGGCGTTTGAAAGGGAAGGGGATTTGAGCACGAGACCTCGCGCGAGGGAGAAGGGAAGAGGGGAACACCGTCCTCCTCCATCCTTCCTCGCGCCCAAAATCCCCTTTCCCTTTCCTTTCGAACGCCTGCCACGCAGGCTAATTTCTTTTTTGAAGGAATTTTCCTGGTTTGAGTTTTAGAATTTGTTATAGTCAATCATTTGGGGATCCCAGGCTTCATAAGCTTTCTGGTTACTTCTGGGTTCCCTTCCCAACTTACAATTCTTATATGAATTCTTGCATTGTAATTTACTTTGGCTAAATAAAACTGAACTGAACTGAATCGTCTACTTTGGAAGGTCGGCCATGAAGGGTGCGAAGAACTGTCACTCTGGGCTTATACTTCAATAAATTTAACTTCTCTCATAATCGCTTAAGACAGACAGCCAAACAGTCTTAAAAATGACAGAGTGTGAAAAATATCTAAAATATATATCTTTATCTATGGACTTCCTTTGACTCGGATGATCTTTAAAATTGGTTCTCTAGAGTACTCTTCTCATTTTAACACCCGTTCATATACAATGTAAGTTCCCTGAGAGAAAACTGATGTTATTGCCTGGATAGCTTACGAACTTTCAAGCTCGTAAGTTCTTCAGGTCTTTTCATTTTCACGTAGATAATGACCAAAAACGTCTTATACGTTTGGAAAGGCCGGGAAAGTTTATGGAATGGTGACGGATAGACCTCTCCTAAGTTTCAAGTAGCAATTCAACTCAATCGGTGCCCTAAGTGGACGGGTCAGCGGTACTGTTGCTAGAAGGAGCACGAATTTATGCTAATCAGATTATCGCAATCCGTACAACAGTGGCCGGGCTGGTAAGACAGGACGAAGGAAGATCAAACTCATGATAAACCACTGAAAACTTCTTAAATGTACTGATTAAATGTACTGAAAAAATCTCTATTACAACAAATTGAGGCTTACATACTTTAAAAACGAATGCACGCATAGTAGAAAATCAAAACTCTAATGAGCGCGCAGTTTTGTGACACCGTGACCATTACAAAAGTCTCTCTTTAAAAGCGCATCATACAATTTGGTCTCTCGGTCTCTATAGTCAGGTATAACGCTCCCTATATAGTCCTCCGCTATCCACTCCTCCGCTGTGTGATAAGAGTCCGAACTAGATCCAGAAGATAATTGCATTGTTTCCTCATCAGATTGTGAGCTGCACTCTAAACTTTCTTCCTTGCTTTCAGTGAATGCAACATTTCTTTGTGACCCCGAGTTTTGGAATTCGTAATTGTGAAAGCAGGTCCCAGTTAAACACTCACTGTCTGAAAAACTACTATTACTCTCTGCAGCCTGCTGATTTAACCAAGTCACTGACCAGCCCTCTGACTTCTTCCCTGAATGAGCCGTTTTCTGGAGTTCCTCACCAATACGAGTTTTTACGCCGTCAGAGTCTTGATCAAAGCAACCTAAAAACCCTTGTTCCTGCTGGCGAGGGTTGAATTTTCCTCTGTTTTGAAACTCGGATTGGCACTTTAATGACCGTTGTGTTCTTGTTTTCCTGGTCCCTCTAGTCGCCTCTAAGCGTACTTCTTCTGAAACGTGTTTTTGTTGCTTTTTATCTAAGCTGTGACTCAGACACGGATTCCTGCTTAGTTTGGAGCCATTCGTGTCCACTCTATAAATAAAGTTAGCCTGAATGTTCTTTAACATATCTGTGGGAAACACCAGAACCCAGCAAACCGCTCGCGTAGCAACAAGTGTAGATTTGTATATCACGTAAAATGAAAACGTCAGCAAAAGTGCAACCGGAACAATTACAGCTGCTGAACAGATTAAGGAAATGAACGCCAATGTAAGAAGTCCGCACTGTACCAAGACCAGAGTGATTATAGCGAGTGTGATAGATCCGAGAGTAAGCGTTACTAACACGAGAATGGGAAATAGGCTGGTGACAGCTATCGAACTGTAAATACTCCATTTCCATGGCTTTTTGGCAAACACTTCCAACAGGAACCAACAGGGTGGAGATAACAAAACCTTGTGCCAAAGAATAACCAAACTAGACGCACCCATTTCTCTGTTTTCTTCTCTGTCATTCTGTATCTAGGTGAGTAGGATGGGGAAAATCGAACACTTCATACTTAAAAACAAAGTGAAAGTTAAAATTTTGTGATAATTGGGCGGTGATGTGTGAGTATGACGTTACAAATTAATTTCAATTAGACTCTTCACTGTCGGCTCGCGCTGATGGGTATATACTTCATGGTGGAAAGCCACAAGTGCACCGGTAATATACACTCTGTGTAGTATGTAGTATTGTGTCTAAGTAAAAACTTGCAAGAGGTGACAGGCCGCACATCTTCACCGGCGTGAAACCTTTGAAACCTTTGATATATTGCTCCATTGAGGAGACCTCTTTCAGGGATCTTACAGTTTAAAATTTGAACGATGATATCGCTTCTATATAGCGGACCAAGATACGGCTCGGTACAGTTTATGTTGAGCAAGGGAAAATTGTGTAAGTTGAGCAGAACCTTTAAAATGTTAACAGACAATTTATTCAGTTCGTGCGTATTCCTGTTGAATTTGTAGCCCGTTTATCAGATATGTCTACTCAAAAATATATAATAATTTTTCCATAGCTGCCGTTATCTTAGAGTAACTGCTTTTCATATCTCCGTAAAGTTTAGGTTTACGCGATCTCAGAGAACAATGTTTATATAGCTGTACACAGCACGTAGTCTTTTTTTAAAAATATATCCAGATCTGACACTGGTTTTCGGTATTTATCACGTCTAAGCATGATTTAAATACATTATAATGCTGTGTCCTTTGAATGTCGTTTTAAACCTCAATCGCTTTGTAAATGTCACTTGTAGTTTTAATATCAGAGGAGAGTATTTTAAAGCTCAATATTTTTCAATACCATTAGCATGTTGCTTTTTTACCAATCAATTGACGGGCTTCTTTGTGCCACTACATAATGTGTGTAGTTAATTATAAGTTTACAAGCAAGACCGGCGGTTTCGAATCTTACGATTCTCATCAGTTGCTATGTGGTGGGATGGTTGAGGTGAACTCTGAACCATTCCGTATTGCTTGATTTAGTAAGCGTTTATATATCCACCCTGGTTTGTTTGGAGGATCGAAAATGGTGCGGTTTGATTGGTTCCTTGCAAAAAACCAATCAGGTTGCTGTAGGTTCGATCCGTGTTTTCTCAAAGCTAGGTTGTGTTTTTATAAAGGTTAAAATTTGAAAAATAGGAGTCTTGCCTTGCTTTTTTGTAAAGTATAAAAACCGATAACTACCGATAACTACTAGTAACTACCAGCAAATACTAGTAACTACCAGTAACTACTAGTAAATACCGACAACAACTAGCAACTACTAGTAACTACTAGTAACTACCGACAACAACTAGCAACTACCAGTAACTACTAGTAACTACCGATAACTACTAGGAACTACCAGTAACTACTAGTAACTACCGATAACTACTAGTAACTACCAGTAACTACTAGTAACTACCGATAACTACTAGTAACTGCCAGTAACTACTAATAACTACCACTAACTACTAGTAAATACCAAGGAATACTAGTAACTACCGACAACTACTAGTAACTACCAGTAACTACTAGTAACTACCGATAACTACTAGTTACTACCAGTAACTACTAATAACTACCACTAACTACCAGTAACTACTAGTAATTACCGTTAACTACTAGTAACTACCGGGAACTACTAATAACTACCAGTAACTACTAGTAACTACCAGCAACTACTAGCAACTACTAGTAAATACCAATAACTACCGATAACTACTAGTAACTACCAGCAACTACTAGTAAATACCGACAACAACTAGCAACTAATACTAACTACCGATAACTACTAGGAACTACCAGCAACTACTAGTAACTACCGATAACTACTAGTAACTACCAGTAACTACTAGTAACTACCGATAACTACTAGTAACTACCAGTAACTACTAGTAAATACCGACAACAACTAGCAACTACTAGTAACTACCGATAACTACTAGGAACTACCAGTAACTACTAGTAACTACCGATAACTACTAGTAACTACCAGTAACTACTAGTAACTACCGATAACTACTAGTAACTACCAGTAACTACTAGTAACTACCGATAACTACTAGTAACTACCTAGAACTACTAATAACTACCAGTAACTACTAGTAACTACCAGCAACTACTAGTAAATACCAATAACTACCAATAACTACTAGTAACTACTAGTAACTACCAGCAACTGCTAATAACTACCAGCAACTACTAGCAGCTACCAGTAACTACTAGTAAATACCAATAACTACTACTAACTACTAGTAAATACCAAGAACTACTAGTAACTACCGACAACTACTAGTAACTACCAGTAACTACTAGTAACTACCAATAACTACTAGTAACTACCAGTAACTACTAGTAACTACCAATAACTACTAGTAACTACCAGTAACTACTAGTAACTACCAGTAACTACTAGTAAATACCAAGAACTACTAGTAACTACCGACAACTACTAGTAACTACCAGTAACTACTAATAACTACCACTAACTACTAGTAAATACCAAGAACTACTAGTAACTACCGACAACTACTAGTAACTACCAGTAACTACTAGTAACTACCGATAACTACTAGTAACTACCAGTAACTACTAGTAACTACCAGTAACTACTAGTAAATACCAAGAACTACTAGTAACTACCGACAACTACTAGTAACTACTAGTAACTACCGATAACTACTAGTAACTACCAGTAACTACTAGTAACTACCAGTAACTACTAGTAAATACCAAGAACTACTAGTAACTACCGACAACTACTAGTAACTACCAGTAACTACTAGTAACTACCGATAACTACTAGTAACTACCAGTAACTACTAGTAACTACCAGTAACTACTACTAACTACCACTAACTACTAGTAACTACCAGTAACTACCACTAGCTATTGGAGAGAAGACACAATAGTACATACTACACAGAGTGTATATTACCGGTGCACTTGTGGCTTTCCACCATGAAGTATATACCCGCTGATGCCCCACCATGGAAACATATGTTTTTATGAAGTCAGTTATAATTCAAATTCTCCGGGATTCATGGCCGTTTGGCATCAGAATTTTATTTCTTATCATTTGACACCTACAGACCGGTGCACGGGGCAATCATTTGAACTTTTTCACATCTTCTAAAATAATTGTTCAGAAAAACAAGTGTAAGCAACAAAGAGGCTGACTCATTGTCCCAGTTCGCTCCGTCTTGCCAAGCCAAGAAAACAAGAAGAAAAGTACCTCGCCCAACTGAAATCCATTTTTTAATTATTATTATTTTTCAGCATGGTCTGACGTCACAAAAGGTGACCTGTATACTGTCTCCATGGCAACTGGCAGCTATGACGCTGTTACACGTGCGTGATCTGATTTTCCAGCTGTTGTCACCGCAGCTCTTTGAACATTCGCTCCATTCAGTCCACTCATGCCAAGCCTGATCAGGTTTTCCAGAACTGCTTCCCTCCTGTCCTTCGTCGGAGTCGCTTTCCATTTCCTGTCCCTTTCCACCGCCTCCATTACCTCCTAACAAGACAACAAAAATTATGTTATCACTACTAAACAAAAGTGGACATATTGGTAAGAGGGCATAGGAGTTTCGTAAAGGAGGCAGAACAGCAGTCTTCATAGTGTAATTTTTCCTCCATGGAAAGGTTGCCATTAACCCTAACCCTAACTCTACCAACCAAGTCTCTAGTACTTTTTAAATATTTTGGGCGCACTCTGTAGAATAGGGTCAAGCTATTTCGTATGTCGCCGTCAACTAATCACCCAATGCAAGCATCTAGTTCTGTTACCCTATAAGTTTTAGGATGAATTTTTTTGTCCACATTAAAGGTCCAGATTAAGGAACTTTACTTAATGCACGTTTTCCCTGGAGTCCATTTACATCTTCCTTATGAATTCAGTTTGGTTAACATTAAAACTGGCAATATTAAGTAATGAATAGTTTGTGTCCTTTGTGTGCTCTAAACGTCTTTTATCAGAAGCTTTCAGAACTTGATTTTAATGTTCAATGAAATGTTTCCTTACTTTTAGCTGGCGGATAAATTCCTGTGATTTATATTGCGTATAGTGACTTAATTAAGCTTCTCTTTTTTATCTAAAATTCCTTGGTGACTAGGTTACAATTGGTCACTTTCTTTTACTCACAATAAACCTTGCTCAGTACCATTAGGTAAACCAAGTACACCTCGTGGATTTCCCACATAGATAGCGGGTTCTTCGATTTTTAAAGATCATTAACGACGACCTCCTTTTTACCAAGAAATTACTGCTTTAAATTCAAATCTCAGAGTTTGCATTATACATACCAATCAGAACACAAAGACAAAATACAAGCAAGTGCATGATCCACTCCGTGAAGAAGATAATTAAGCTTTCCCTTGGATAGATAAGCACAACTTTAAGAGCGAAATAGGTGAAAAGGTAGTGACAGGGCTTTTCAAGAGGAACCAGTTGCTAGGAATTGTCAAGAGAAGTATGCTATGCGATTTAGTTGGCATAAAGGATGTTTACTTAATGTAAGCTCTCAGCTCGTAACGATTGGGTAATAAATATCTGAAAACAAAAAAAAAACATCGTCTACCTAAGAATGACAAAAATTGCGACTAAGCGTTTACAGAAAAAATGATCTCCTGTAAGTCAAGGTAGGCTTGGACAAGAATCTGTCGTCAATACCTGCCTTTGTTTTGTATGAATCGCTTCTAATATATAAACGAATATGTAAAACATTCCAAAGAAACGTTCATCGGAGTGTTGTTTCACTAAGAATGTTCCGTCACCATAGTGACAGGTTAGTCAAAACATTCTGTGGTTGGTATATAATTCGTCTGGCATTATTGTCCAATCCGTGCGTGCTGATCAATTAACCTTTCTCGCGGAATGGATATTATCAGGGAACGGTAGGATTTTTAACATTAGAGACCTGAAAATTTCCGTCAAAATAAGATTTTGAGACAAACAGGAAGATGTTACAAAAACTACTGATGGCATCACTCAACAACGTTGCTGGATTTGTTGTAGGCTCCCACGCAGGCGTTGTGAGGTGAATCGTGTTTGTGGGGAGAGATTTTAAAATACATGAAACTCCCCTGAAAACTCCTGCATGGAAGGCTATATTTGATGTGGCATTTATTTAATACCTACCAATACATTCCTGAAACGAACATTTGACGTTTTGTAAAGCACTACCAATGCATTTTAGGCCATTGTTAGACGGAGGAGGCCTGGTGCAAGTTCTTCTTCTCGTTTTCGAACATTCTTTGTTGCAAGGGCCCCAGTTTCCCCATAAAGACCAACCACCGTCAACTGCAAAGTAAATTAAGATTTCCAAGTGCTCCCTGGTAAGTGTAGATAACGTTAAGGGGGGTGGGGGGTGGGGGGAGTGTTGGTGAGAAGCTGATGCCAATCGTTACCCGATCAACAATTTGGGCGTCTTACACAAGAAAACAAAAATTGTTCTCTTGATGAAACGATTGTACTTCAGTTTGCGTGCTCATGATGATTACATCATGAAGCCGGTGTCAATGATTACCTAACTGTAACCACCCCTTAGAGTGTTATTCATATATTAATAGGAAGCTGGGTGAAGGAGATGAGATCAACAATAGACTGATAGCGGATGACTAAGATGCCTTTATATACTAAATTCCAGAATAATTATGAATTTCTTTTTGTTTACCTGGGCATGGAATATCCTTGTTGCATTTTTCGGTTTCCACGTGTTGACCAGAACAAGATTTTCCACCGTTGGACACGGGTGGGTTGGTGCAAGAACGAGATCTGGAGCGAGTTCCTTCAGCACATGTTGTTGTGCACTGACCCCAGGTATTCCACAATGACCAACCTCCGTCCACTGATTAACACAGATTAGAAAAACTGTTATCGTAAATTAAACGCGTGGTGCCTATCTTACTTTGCGTTCATTTACTGCCAATAACGCACTTAGCCTACAGAAGACAAGCGACAGGCCATTTCCCAGTTTCAAAACTCTCACTTTCAAAACGAGGCTAAGTGCAAAACCTTTCTTGTGAAAATGAGTTTTGTTTGCATGAGAATAAAAAATTATTTTCATATCAATAGCTTTGCACTTAGCCTGTGTTTGAAACAGAGGCATGGGTCAGCTAGTAAATGTCCTATGGTGTAAATGTCCTACCTCAGATTACAAGGCACAAGAACAGCAGCAGAACAACTGACACACTGCGCCCTTAGCAAGCTAAGGCTATGTTCATAATAATGATCACCAGCTTTTCCCGTCTACATTTCAAAACCTCAGCCACGCAGGATCTTCAAAATATCAGCACAGCAGACTTTTGGGTTTCAATTAAAACCATCATATTACTACTATCAAAAGTTAGGAATACTTTGACATCCATTTTAATTACAGGTAGTAAGGATTTGCCTTGATACAGCTAAACGAAATCTTCACTTCATGTCACTATAGGAAGCTTTTCAACGCGTCACAGTCACTTATTTTTGCTTGTAGTTCATTACCTGGACAGAATACATGTTTATTACAGTTCCGCGACATTTCCGTCAGACCCTCACACGGTTTGCCACCATAGGCCACAGGTGGGTTGGTGCAGGACCGATTACGCCTTTGAGTTCCCCTGCCGCAAGTAACACTGCATTTGCTCCAGTTTCCCCATGAAGTCCAACCTCCATCAGCTAACAGGAACAAATTCAAAGTAGTACAAAACATTATTGCTGTGAACGTCGTTGATTCTTGGCTGTAGGGACGGGGGGGGGGGGGGGCAGTTAGGGTTGGTGTTCAAAGGATCAAAAATTTTTTTCATCTGATTATTTAAGCTAATTATATTCATTACTTTTATAAAACCTTCATTTCCACGTTTTTCAAGCAAGAACTGAGCTCTTTTAAGTTTCCATCATTTTACTTTTATTTTCCAACTTCTTTTTACTGCCGTTGTTCGTGTGGCGTTGATCATCCTTTTAAAATCGCTTTTATTTAAAAGAGTTATTGTCTGATTACCTGGACAAGGACTGGTGTTACATTTTCTGCTCTCGCTGTTCATACCAGGGCATTTACGTCCACCATTGGCTGGGAGTGGCATGTCACATGACCGCAGACGGGCCTGGATTCCTTCTCCACAAGTTGTACTACAGCTTTCCCATAATCCCCAGCAGCTCCACCCACCGTGGACTAGAAAAGTAAGTAGGGTAAGCTGGTATTTTGCACAAGGTGGAACAAACCTGATTCAGTTGAATGTTATTGCAAAGAAAATCAAAGGAAACGAATACTAGTTTAATACTCCATAATACTCAAGCTCAATTTATCCAATTCACAATATGCAAGTACATCGCATAGGTGGATCAAACTAGTCCCTGGTTGCATTTGGTTGCCTTTCGCCGCAGTAAATAATCTCCGAGATATCACTTGATCCGGTTCTAGATAGTGACACGTTTAGTGAAACCTCAAAAAGGTAACAAGAAGCCGAGTTTTTGACACACCGAGTTATTGCGAATATCGCACAACAAAAAATGTTTTTTTTTTTTACTCGAATTGAGGCAGGGGATAACAATAAAGAAAGATAGTTCTGTTAGAGAGGCAAGGCAATGATCTTAGCTCTCTAAGAGTTAGTTTCTCCGTCACGTTTAAGTTTTCGCTCAGAAACTCGTACAACAGCTGGGCAAAAAACATTCAAAGCAGCCATAAATGCATATAACTGCCATGTTTTTTGCGACTTCATATTTGCGCAAGTCATGTTTTAGCTTTCCGTCCAATTCCAACGCACGGAACATCACTCTTTAGATTTGCTTGAGGGTGGAAGCAGCAGGAACTAAAGTCTTTGACGTTATAGAGGACATGCGAGTTATTATGAAATTCATCGATAAAAGCTTAACAATTGTCTTGGCTGTGCAGCGATCACCTTTACCAATTTCTTTTGAGACATAGGAATTAAAGACTAACCTTGTTCACAACATTCTCCTCCGTATTGTGACGAGCATTTACATCTTGTTGGCTCCAAAATGCCTCCATTATAGCAATATCTGTTGCAATCACGAGACTGACTCAATTGAAACGGGCAAATGCCTCCGCAAATAGCAGGTTGCAGCAACTAGTGGCATGGAAGAACAAACTCCTGGTCACTTTTTAAAATGTTGACTAGCACATGAAACGTCGTGTTTATGCAATGGGCCAAGAACCAAAGTCTTCATGTAATAAAGGTGTTTCCTAATTTCCCGGGGAAGTGAAAAATAAGGAGGGTGGGTGCGGAACCTAAACAGTATAGTAAACGGGATGGGGGAATTAGATAGACAGTATAATGATCAGTTGAGTTGGAAAGTTTAAGGTGCCTTAAATATCCATTGCTAGAATGCCCTCTCTCTACTGCTGCTTTCAAAACAGTCTATATAGCTCAAGTGCCCATCCCTGCGAGAACATTTCCAGTACTTCCCTTGAATTAAACAACAAAATAAAGCTGTGGTCCACATTGTACTTGAGTAGCACACTGATACGCGGTACGCCTTGTCAGTTTAAAAATTGAAGTCCATGGACCAAATATTTAAACGTAGTTTAGCCAGTGTTTAACAAAACCGCGTTCTAAGTCATTTTCAATTTGCCCAACGATCTTATCTAAACATCATTTATTGTGAACAGTTTTATGAAAGCATATAGAGAAGACTAGCAAAGCATTTATCTTCTTAAAACAACTCACCAAAGAAGAGATCTGAGGTTCAAAGATTTGTTAAACCGCGGCTTAAGTTAGTCTTCGTTTAAATATTTGGCCCAATAAAGGTTTTAGCAGCGGCGTCTGAGCCTGCGTGGCAGGTGCCGGTAAGTTATTATTATTATTACTATTATTAGAGGCAGGCCACCAGTTTTTAGGGCGAAGGCGGAAATCTCGAGGAAGCGGGAGGGAGAAAAGGAGAGGAAAAAGTAATTACGCTGGTTAAGTTAAGTAAGGTTAAGCTGAGTAGGTAGAGCGAGTGCTTGACTGAAATGCGAGATTCATGTCGCCGCTCCAATCCCTTTAGCTAGACCAATACTCGGGTCTTAAAATCATTAAGGAATGAGGATACTGCCTTCACCGTTACTGAAAACGGCTAAACCGAAATATAGAGTCCTCAATTAGTACGTTCGTACTAAATACATTGACTCTCAAACAACGTGCGTTCTTCAGAGCGTTATTTGCTTGGAAAGGATCGAAGTCTTGGTTGGCATTCGGATAGTGAAAATGCTGAAGAGTAATGGTAGTCTGTCATCAAAATGTTGCAGACTACAGTTTCTAAAGTTGCTTCATTTGAATTAAACTCACCTTTCTTGTGCGCTTTTGCCATCCACGATTTCCACACGCAATTGAACATTGACTCCACCTACTCCACGTGCCAACTCGGCAGTTTTGCGCCTTGCGGGAGCCTCCATCATCATCACCATCATCATCGTAGTCGTCGTCATAACTTCTACACTGACTTGGCTTGGTTGGTTCTGGTTTTGGAGTCTTACGTTTTCGGTATTTGCGGCGATGACGGGACTCAACGCTAGAAAAAGCCAGCAGAATGAATAGAACAATCAAAACTAAAGACGGGCGCATTGGTGGCTACAAAGGCAGCATTCACATTTGAGAATCAAATCACACTGAGATAGCGGCGGTATCTAGGCTGCCCTGGTCGTTGCACTCTTTAGGGCTTTCAGCCAAGTGTACAGGACTTTTGATTCAGACTGAAGCATTTGTCAACCGATGAAAATGGTAAGAATATTGTTCTTAAGGGATTTGCGGACAGCTATACACTGAACTTTGGCCAAACCATAGACAGTACACAGGAGAGAAGAAAGGTATTAACGACACAAAATTGTACTGAACAAACCTCTCGAGTGTTCATTCAAACAAAGTAAGCAATCAACCATTTTTTGTAAGATTTTGACAATGAGTGACATTTGATTTGCATGAGAAAAGCGTTTGTCATGACTTGATCAGTGCGTTTTATTTGCGATGTTCATGAAGTTACGGGATTTCGTTGACAGAGGCTAATAATTTAGATTTTCTTTATTAAAACGTTTTTTGGTGCCTCGAAACTCTCCATGATAAGACGAGGGCCGGTGGAACACGTCAGAAATAAACAGAGTGACGAACAATTTCCTTTTTCAAATTATTTCAAGTAAAGCACATGAGTACACCTAAGCACGGACGCTTTTTCAATAAGAAGAAGCAGCTGGATTCTACAAACATCTGAAGCTTTAAGCTATGCGAATAGTTCGGATTTACAATGGTTTCAATAACGTGCTTCTGAAAGTGCAAACTCTACAAGAGCCTCGCAATCAATTAAATTCATTCACTGTAAAAAAAGAAAGAAGACTAGACTAGTAATATGAATTAAAGAGGTTAACCATCACGTTGACGTCAAACGCCCGGCGGCAAACGCGAATTTGAACCTTGTGACCAGGTCAGTTCCTCTTTTCTTGTCGCCTAGCAACTGTTCATTATTTCTACGCATCATCATCATCAAGTGCCATCTACTAGTTAGTAGTAGGTCGGCGGCTATCATGGATCTCCATCCATTATAGGTGTGTCCTAACAATTCTTTGAATTGATGTTTTTCATCCAGGTAACTCTTGGTCTCCCCCCTTCTCTCTTCCTTTCAATTTTGCCTTCCAGTTACAATTTATGGATCGACCTCATTCTTATTACGTGTCCAAAATACTGGCATTTTCTTTTCTTTATTGTTGGTAATAAGGACCTTGTTGTCTTTGCTGTCTTTAAAACTTCTTCATTGGTTTTATGTTCCGTCCATGATACTCTTAACATTCTTCTATACGCCCACATCTCGAAAGACTCTAATTTACTTTCCATGGTAAATAAATTACATAAATTAGTAGTTTTACCCAATTGTTTATCCATAAGAATTTTCTGAGCTGTTTTTATCTGCTCATTTTCTATTTTGAGAAATTCTCAACTAGAACTGACGTTTGCCGTATCATCATCAAGTCTCATCGCGCCAGTAGGCGCATAAGGCCACCAACACTTTCTGTCTTGTGCAAGCGCTTTGACTACTTCCCAGCTCTGTAGCAGTTAGTGTTTTTATGTGGTACCTGGAGGACTTCCCAGGAGGTCACTAACTACCTGGTCGGCTCTACTCTTCGACCTTTCCGGCATGGGTGGCCCCACCAAGAGTACAATACTCCAGCCCACATAGCTTTAAGGGTCATTGAGACACGTATACGTGAAGCTTTAACTCTCTGTTAATAGTTCATGTGTGCAGCAGGTATAGACTCTTCTTTTTACAAGGGTATATTTTATCAAAATATTGAGGCTTAAATTTTGCGAAACTTTAAGAATAATCCCCAGGCTAAGATTCTGAAAAGGATATAAAAGTTGTGTCTTAAAAATCTGTAAATAAAATATAATAACATGTTTTTAACTTGTTCCTTTCTCTAAACGGCAAAACTAGCCAACAAACCGAACAAAACTTGCACTAATTATAATTGATACCCCAATATATTCTTAAATGTAGATGTCACAAGCTTTCCGTATTATTCTTAAAAGAATAATACAAGAATATTTTCAGCCTAAAATCGGCAGAAAAATAAGAATATTCAGCCTGGGACGGAAAAACAACATTCTAAAAAAAAAAAATGTAACCATTCTTTCTTAAACTTACTGAACGGGCACATTTGAACTCAGGGGGCAGGGTTCTCCTAGGAGACAAAGCAAACCAATATTGTTTTTCTTCAGTGTTATTATAGGCAACTATTTCTAGACAGACAGATTCTATGTGGGGCTTCAGATTCAAAGTTATTATATCGGACCACGGGATTGATTTTACGAGGGGCAAGGGTCAGAAAATCAGCTTGTTTTGGGTTACCTGTTGTTCCATTTGAATGGGTATTAAATTTAGCAAAAACATAGAGGTGATTTAACAGAAATAGAATTTGAGACATTGAGGAAGTTGTAAAAAAGTAAGTAACAACGAAACACAGACGCTTCTAGGAAAAAAACCACTATAATTAAAAATTTTACAAGTTGGTTTAAGTTTACAAAAAGGGTGTAAGTGATGAAATGATGTGTTAGAGTGATTTTACTTGAACCGTGAAACAGGTAATAGCAACTCGTGCAAAATAGCTACAAATAAACAACAGAAGACGATAGGATTGGTGCATAATAGTGCGAGTAGTATTCTACTACCTATTTCACGACTAACTGGTTTCCCGAGGGACCTGACTTTAAGTGTTTTGTTATATTTCAAGACTTTCACTTCAACAGCAACAAAAGATTAACCGAAATGAACCAGAACAGTCGACTTAGTACTTAAAAAAACACAAATTTAATTCTCAAAACCACTGAATAAATGATTTACAAAGTACTTTACTTATATTATGTGTATCTTTCTCCTCCACAAGCTGCTGTTTCTCTTCTGGGATAGCTTTAAAAATTGCTGCTTTTTATCTTGAGATTTCGTGTTTGTGTTGTTGTGTTAATTCACGAAAAAGAAAACTGGCAGTGTTTTTCCCGCCTTCTGTCACGCCACTTTGCACCATGCCTTGATCACATGCTGTAATGTATCCCCAGTGGGGTACATTGTTAATGTATGGGCACATTAGTCAAGACCACGTAACCAAGAATCAACCAATGGCAGTCCCTGTTTAGTTGAGTGAAAGTCTAGGAATATAACAATAGATCTTATTGGGGGCCAGCGATTATATTAACATTAGCAGGGCTGTCAACCCCCCACATCTTCCAATATTGAGAATTGATAGGGAACTATTAAGGGAAGGGATAATAGATGACGTCATAACGCACGGCACATGACGTCATTTGTGCAAATATTCTTACTTCCCACCAATCACATGTCATTATTGTCAAGTTAAAATGGCAGCACGGAAGTTTACAAGGAAATGTTTGATGTTAACATTAAAATAGCTAAGACAACGCAAAATAGTTGAAATTTTGAATACTGTCAAAAAGTTGTCTACTGAAATGAAGAAGTGGCAAACTTCGAAGATTATCCAGGAGATTTCAAACTCTAATCTGGAGACCGGGAGATATGGTCCAAAATCTGGTCTCGCCCAGATTATCCAGGAGAGTTGACAGCACTGCATTAGTTTGAGACCACATGGTTGGCACTTAAGTTTTGTATCAACTAAGGTATTCTTGGCAGGTTCGAAACTGGTGATGCACCTGACACTTCCATGTATTTTTCTAATAACTTTTGTTGTTTCGGGTGGAAGAAAGGTCAGGCCTGATAAAATGAAACCGTACAAAAAATCATTTATCTTAAGTTTATGTGCACCACTCAACTTTTCAACTTGACCAATGGAATGGTTTTGGTTGCTATACAGTTATCACAGACCCACTCGGCATTCTCCTCAGCAGTAAGTAGGTCATAAGCCAGTTCTGTCAGCCCCGTACATACACGGTGATACCACTGTGAACAGCCTGTTTCACAGAATATAGCATCATCATTGTCATTTACTTCTCTCTTGCAGATACCACAGGGGTAGACTGGGTCTATAGTGAGGTTAGATCGGTTCATATCTGTAGTTCCCTAAAAAGGACAAGTGGAAAGGTTTATGGAAAAAATGAAAAATCTCAGTTGTACACCTTAACAGTTGTGTAAAGAAAGCCTAAAATAATTCAGGCTTGTATGGTATTTGAAAACATGACCTCTTTGATACAGGTGCAGTGCCCTTAAGCCAACTGAAATATGCAAGTCGACATACAGCTGGTCATTTCATTGAATGGTTCATTGTATTCATTATCTAGTACAAATTGTGATCATTGAGAAGTGAGAAACTCTACAAATCACAGCTCACACAGCATAAAAGCTGTCTGCCCCACAGAGTACAATCAATTAAATTTAATGAAACAAGGTTGGCTGGGTTGGCAATGTCATACTGTATTTTGTCAACCCAAGCCTCAAGGTGGTGCTTTCCTTGACATAACATGGTATGTATCATTGGAATGCCTGACAGGCCTATTCTTGGCTAAATTGTAAGAAAAATATGTTAAGGCTAATAATGCAATGGGGAAACTTCCCAGAAAATGGTAAAGGTCCACAACGCTTGTTTATTCTGTGAATACAAAAGCTTTATAAAAAAATGCTGAATTTTGCCCAACATATTTAATACTGAACATTACTTGTTCTTTTAAGTACAAAGTTCCAAAGAAAAACGAATGTTCATTTATTCCCAGAACCGGTAATATAATATTCATTATAGTATAAGTGTGACTGTACCTCCATTGAACGTGAATGTATTGTGCGTTCAGCTGTGACGTAGGGAGGCACTCCGAAATGTTGTTGTGGTGGGGCAGTTACTGGGCTGGCAAGATCCGATGAACCAGAACTCTCTTTTCGCTGCTTTTTTTGTGGACTATCAGGATTTGAACCACTACTGTCACCTTCAGTTTCTATTTCATCTGGATTTGCCCCATCTAGAAAGTAATATTTGGCAGAAGTTTATTTACAATTTACAATTATGTAAATTAAAGCAAATTTCCAGGGACTATATGTTGAATAAATTTGCATTCAAAATCAATGTATGCTGCCTGATGTCAAACTTCATAAGTGAGCAAAACCCAAATAAGAAAGGTGTAATGAAAACATTATTGAGATGTCAGATTACATTTGGAAACCTCATTTTTATTAATGACTTAAATAATTTTGAAATCCTACCACAGGTTCTCATCCAACTTCCTCAAAATAAACAAATTCACTGAATAAAATGCTGGTTTTTGGCCAAGAAAAAGAAACTTAATGCTGCAAATGAGGTGTGATTAAAGAATTCCAAGAATCTTTTGTACAATGTATGGTTTCAAAATAATTATACTATATAGTTGCCTCAGTCCAGTGATGATGGGAATGTCATCAACTGATGCAGATCAGAGACTCCAAACTGAAGACTACAAAAAAGTGGTTCTGCCAGGTGCATGTGGTTTTAATTGGTTTAGTGCAAAACACAAAAAATTAGGTAAGATTTCTGCACAGTCCCAGACATATATTATGTGCGGACGTTTCACCTGTATTCATATTAATTAAAGCGAAATACAGTTGACTCCTGATAACTCAATCCTTGCAGGGAAATCAAAAAAAGTTCGAGTTATCAGGAAATCAAAGCAATGGACGGGGAGGGAATGCATAAAGTAACAAAGCTTCATTAATATATATGGCAAGGCACTGAATTTCAACTGGGTGCAGTTGTCCAAAGGCCGATTAGCTCTTACCCCGGGGTTAAATTTAACCCAGATTTCTTTTTCTTGTGTTCAAAAGCATTTTCTTGGATAATTTTCTCTGTTATTTTTAGAGCTTCCAATCATCAACTTGTATACAAAAAGAATTAGAACTGAAATGCTTTTTAAGCTTTCAAATCTGAATTTAAATTTCACACTAACCCTAGGTTATTTTAACCCAGCTTTGAACAACTTGGCCCTGGAGTGACAAAAAATGAAGACAAAGAATTCACACGTTTGTTTTGAAATAAATTCAATAATTTGCACTTCAGTACACGGCTTTTTTTCCTGACTTGTCACTCGCTTATAACATGGTTCGAGTTATACCGAGGGTAAAATTATATAGGAATGATCAGAAGTGAAATAAAAATAAAGTGGGAGTTTCGAGTTATCGAGGGTTTGAGTTACCAAGGGTAAAATTACAGTAAATGTATAAAGAAAATTTCAGGGGAAATTGACTTTGGTTAGAGTTAACGTGAGGTTCGGGTTAGTGAACGTTTGAGTTATTGGGAGTCAACTGTAGTATGAGATCAATGTTGCATACAGTTAATAGATGTAAGGGGCTGTGCAGAAATCTGAAATTTGAACTTCCGAGTTTTTACAGTGCGCGACACCAAAATAGGAATGCTGCCTCCTAGAAAAAAGTCTCTCCTCTTGATTTTCAGCAGCTTAACCATTTCAAACGTATGCTAGCTCTTGAGTCAAAAGAAAGAGCTTTCCTAGAAACAAAGATGTCTTTGTTGATTTCCGGTGGCCATATTGGTGGACCAAAACTGTCCACCAATATGGCGTTTCCATACAAAGGTCTACAAAGGTGCATGAAAACGTTTCGGCAAATGACTCAGAACCTGTGGGCCACAAATACCTGAAACTTAGACAAATTGTTTATACTTTTTATAACATTTCATTTTCTTGGCTTCTTCCACTGGACGATTTCTAATTTATTTTTTTGTGCCTTGTTTATTGCGTGACAGTGAAAACGAAGAATAACTCAAAGGAAATGTACGTAAAGCCCATAAAACCCCTAAAATACTATCTCTATAGCATGCTATCTAAATAAAGGCAATCTGTTCCAGATGCACACTGCCAATTAACAACGACGAAAACTAATGTCAAATCTGGGCTCAGGGCTCAAAATAACGGCCGGTCAATGGACAATGTCTGGCCTGATCGTGGACTTGACCGGTCAAACTCTCGTCTGGCCGGTCATTTTGACCGGTCATTTTTGGATGCTTGTCGCTTAATGCGTTTTGCTCTATAACGCTGTAATTCGCTGCTTTCTTTGGCTTTTTTTGCTGCTTTGCACTAAACCCTTTAAAGAAAAACGTTCTGCTTTGCTGTGATCAGTAATGCGACCTTCTGACATTCGCTAACAATAATCTGTTATGTTTTAGAAAACTAAAGGATGAGGGATAGTTTTTGTCCATCAAACGTTTCACATCTACTTGTAACAGGATTGTGAAAATCACCTTCGACGGAATTCGGGCTAATCGATCGCTCGTCCTGTACTGTTTCTCTGGGAATAAATTTCAGCGCATCGATTAATTATAAAATTTCTGTTCATCGAACATAATCTCGTTTGCAGACTCGATTCCAGAATTGTCTGCTATATCGGCGCTTAAAATCCTCCTTCTTGATAAGCCGTTCGCGAAAAGTGTTGCGCGACGACCCAAACGAAAGCTTTCCTGTATATTTATTGACTTCTGATGACGAATACCCTGTTTGTGGAACAAATTTCTTGCCAAATCAACTTCTTTGCCACAAATATTTAGCGACAAAATTCTTCTTTGTGGAGGAGACTTTCGATCACGTGCCGGGCAACGAAAAGGATCAAGATTCACCGATATGCAGATATAGGACGAACCTTGGAGACTTCCGACACCGCCGTACAATGATGCTGAAGGTATATATAAACGGACATAAAACGGGGGAAAATCGCGGAAAGGAACTCAACAACGTGTGAATGAATTTTTCACCAACTTGCCGGCAAAAACTCGAACGACAATGCCGTACTGCCAGCGTAATTCGATATTCCATGGGCAACAAAGTAATTATAATATTCATTAATTTGACCGGCCAAAATCGGGGTTTGTCCGGGCTAAAAAATATTTGGCCAGTCATCATGACCGGCGACCTGCTGTCCGTTATTTTGAGCCTTGGGGCTACTAACTGTAGTTAAGAAGGGGATAACTATAGTTAGCTATTTCAGTGATGTGACCGCTTCTCTGTTCGCTCTAACCATAGT